TAGAGACAAACGAGCTAATAAATTCTTTCAGAGACCACTCCTTTGCAAAACAAAGGCCTGGTTTAGGCCTGGCTTCTGGGGGGTGAGAGGGGAGAGCTCTATGACTTTTTAAGTAAATACCATATCATAAGCTGTCCATAAAAACACATCCAATACGTTACTACATAGATTTGTTTAAAAATGTCTTCTTGATTCTGGAACCTTAACAATCATTTACAGTGCAAATTTTGTTTGAAGTCTAGAAGTTTCAGTGGTCTTTTGGATGGGAGGAAGCTGTGCAACTTCTCACGGCCTTTTATTGCCCTTTTGTAACACAGACAGATCTTATTACAATATTGTTTACAAAGCAGTTTAAGTTTCAGAACTGAGGAACATTTAAGTAAGAAATATATTCCATTTGTTTGCATTCCAGTACAACTTATGTCCTGTTTCTGTGAGAAATGTGTCATGCTTTTAATAGTGCTCTTTTGGGGTTAGCCTGTCTGATTTTCTTGTATTACAGAACTGACACACTATCTGGCATATTACTCAATATATTATATAGTATGAAGTAAATTTCCAGGCCTGAAGTTATGAAGTTCTCTAGAATTAAAATAATTACTCTATTTTCAGTCTGCTGCATAAACAGTGCATTCATCAAGGCCAGGTTGGACAGGGCTCTGAGCAACCTGGTCTTTTGGGAGGTGTCCCTGCCCACAGCAAGGGGGTTGGAACTAAGTGATCTTTAAGGTCCCTTCCAACCCAAACGATTCTGTGATCCTAGATCTTTGGATCATAGAGCTTTAAATTCCCAACCAAGTATTCCCTGAGAGTTCCTATAATTAATGTCATAGGTTTGCTCCAATATACAGTAATATCCCCATCCAGGCTACCACTGCACTTCTTACATACATGTAAAGATATGGGAAACACAATGTTAGTTTTCCAGAATTCCAGTTAGGAAGGACAAGCCTGATGTAAACAGGCAGTGTCACAGAGCTTGATTTAAAAACTGTTACATCTAGAGGACTTCGGGGGCAGAGGTTTGCATAAGAGTTTGCAAACTACTGCTGTGAGACGGCATCAGAATATTTAGTTGTATTCTGATTTACACTATATGTGTAAAATTAAACTAAGTTCATAAACTCAGAAATATTCTTAAAAAGATAGTTTTGTGTAAATAGTTAATAAATTTCCATTAAGTTGAACCACTGGGGAAATCTAACATGTTTTAATTTCTGGGTTAAAGACCAGAGTCTAAACAGACTCTTCACGCAGGAAATGCAGGCTGGTTGGAGCACAGTGCTCTTCCCCTGAGTGTACTCCTCACAGCTTATGGGGGAACAAATACTCAGCTGAATCAAACTAGTCTGCCTCCCATTAACCTTATCCAGTCAGCTTGCAGTAAAAGAGAATCTGGTCCTGAAGATGGAATTTGTAACTATCTTCTAAAACTGTGACACTGCACAAAGAGACACAGGTACTATGTGGATTTGACTATTCTATTAAAATAAACCATCTACTTATAAAGTACAGTCAGCCTCATTCTGTGGTTGTTTTTCTCATATAGAAGAATCTTTTATTTAAAAATTAATAGTTTTCGTTTCTCCCACTCCTGAATTACTTTATCTGATGCTTGTTTTGGGTAAAGTCATACCCCAAAGAACTCTAGAGAGAGTTAGATAATAACTAATAAGCACTAACTACTAATAAATGTGGAGGGATGAAAAAGAAAAAAAAAAACAAACAAACAAAAAACCAACCAGATATGGCAGGTTTCTGTCTCATTTACTAGAATCTGGATACTTTGAAATCCAGATAACCTTTTGTTCACATATATTCATGTGTGAATGTAGCTTATGTATATTTTTAAGCATTATGCATCACAAATAGCACTGCTTACTCTTCTCCTGGGACATCAACTATGAGCCTCAGCAACAACAACAACAACAAAAAAAAAAGGAAAAAATAAGATCTAGCAAAGACATAGCCTAGCTGTTTAAACCTAGGTTGCAGGTAGCCATTACTCTCATAACTGAATAAGGAATCCCTAAGGTATGGTGTACATTGCCCAGTTTCCTTTTGTAACCACAGGATTGCAAGAGTCCGTGCGCAAATTTGTTAAAAGCAAGCAAAATCAAGTCTGTCAGAAAATTACAACAGACCACAACAGAGAGAACAGTCACCTTCCAGATTGCATCCTCCCTTAACCAGACTGGAGCCTACAAAACAGACATCTTTCATTGCATCTTTGAGCAGGCATGATTAAGCAGAAAAGATTTTGTTTAAAAATATGGTGGTAAAAGATAAGTAAAACAGCTGTTACCTCACCTCTTACTCTTTCAAAGCTGTGGTTTTTAACATCAGCTCCCCTTTGGTTTCCAGAAGTAGATGAGAAGAGTCAAAAGACTTGGGGGAGAAGTACCTTTGTGAACCCAAGTCACTGCACAGAGGTTCTTTATGGGCACTGCATATGCAACATTGAAGAAAGACTGTTACAAGAAGTGCCATACCAAAATAAAAATAAAATCTTTTACCCAGACTCCTGCAGCTCTCCTCATTATGGGCCCAAGAATCAGGACTGCAAAGAACAAGCACCTTTATAGCTACTTCTGTTCCAGTGCTAAAACACGAGCATCACGTTATCAACGTAAAGCTCTAACCAGTGACTGAAATGACATTCTATTTAAAAATCTGAGGGAAAAAATTACAGTGGGTTGCAAAACTAAGGAAACTGCTGCAGTTTGTTTATAAGAGAAGACTAGTAGTTCACTCCAGTTTCCAGAGGTACTATGTTAATGGGAATTAAAAATCATACATGGTCTGCTTAACTCATTTGCTATGAAAGACATTAAAAAAAAATCAACAGCACAGTTTCCTTATCTTGGTGTAAAGCTTTCTTGATTTTTCACTCTTTCTTTACTGAATGTTTTGGAAGTTAGATTCTTCCAAGACAAGAACGTAAGTGCAACCTCAAAAATCAACAACACAGTTCTTCTGTTTGAAGTCTCTGGTCTTTAAAGAGTGTGCTCAGTCTCTCAAGCAGGAAAAAAAGAACTGTCACAAGGGACTACTTAGATGTCTCTTCTGCTTTTGCAGCTATCCTGCAAATGTGCACCAGAAGTACATGCATTTTTAAAGCTAAGTAATCTAAAACTTTAGTCAGAATTCCTAACTGTTATTCTACCCAACATGAAAAACAATACAAACAGATACATTTAATTAGGTGGCCATCTGATACCTTACACTACAAAATGCAGTCAGGCTACTTTTAAAGCATTTGTAATCCTAAATCTTCTGAAAGAATATACAACATATAGTTTCCACAGAGTGTATGTGTTGTCATATAACTATTAAATAAACATATCTAGTCCCCACCCCACTAACTTCCACTCAGTAATTTGATTCAGAAAACCACTGGTAAAACTTGTTGAATTGCAAAACACTGCAGCATTGCCGACCACTATGTTAAGAACACTTATCAAGCACATGCAGTAGTGAGCTTGTTAAACCAAGCCAGAAAGGCTTTAAATAACTCATACTTAATTCTGTAGGTTTTTTTCTATTAATGTCACATTTTATTAAAAAAATAAGTTTCCTATATTTAACATGTATAGTAGCTTGCTGTGACTGAAGATCTTGAGACCTTTAACATTAAATGACAGTAAATCCAGCACTTTCTTCACAGCTTTGAAAAAGGGGAAGAAGAAAGGATGAAGGGAAGGACAGGAAAGAGGAAGGAAAAGGAGGAAGCACCAGGCCATTCCTAGCAAGAGAACCAAATAGTTCTACAGCATCAAAATATGAACCTGCATCACAAACGTTAGAAAAAGGAAAACTATTATAATTGACCAAATGTAGAGATATTCCATATAATTAGAACATAACATCGGGAAAGACTAGACTGGGAAGGAATACATTCTATTTGCAACTGTCTCTCCTCTATTTCCAAGAAATTATTTTCCTTCCTTCTCTACAAGCCATTGCTGATTTACTCGCAGTTGTATAAACTACTATTCCAATATGTCTGTGGCGCTGAAGCCAGACACACAAGACACTGCAGTTCCACAACCTGGAACTACTTTATCCCTGATTTTCCCCAACAATGGCAAGAATACTGGGTGAGTTTGAAGGAGGAAACAACTTGGAGATGTGCACGTTACATATTTAATTTGTAGTCCAGAAGATTGCCCCCAAATACTTTGAACAAAAAACCTGCAGAGCAGTCACCTCTCACATAAAACATATATGTGGTGCTTACATATTCTCCGTGGGGCCCAGGGTTTATGAGGAGAGAAAGGAGGGAACAAACAACTCCCCTAAATCCCACGGGTTACCTGTGCAAAAGATTAGTAGCTCGTGGTTGTATTGCTCTAAGTGCAACCACTCTGCCTTGGTGAGAGAACCCTCTGCCAACAGAGGGTCCTCTGTGCAGGAATGCCCTGGAAGTAACATCATTAGCAGCCATGTTTTCAGGGTTTAGCAAGAATGAAAACTCACGGAGACCATGAAGTACTCGGTTAGACTTGGTGTTGTATACAAAAATAAATCTCGAGGGACAGAGTTCAGCTAATGAACTCTCTGCTGCTTCTCTTTGGGAGAATCAAATGGTAAATGGCATTCCCAGTAGAAAAATCAGGAGAGTAAATACTATCTGCAAGGAGGGATAGAAAATCCCTCTCTACCCCAAACAAATTCCTTCCTGGGAAGAGACACTTTCTGGTTACCTTCAAAGATATCTATATTAGTAGAAAACTGGAGATAACATACCCTTCCATGAACTTTCTCTTACTTCCTCACTTGAATGCCAAAGCCTTTCTAGAACACAGATAAAAGGCTATGTTTGCAGTTTAAGCAATGATGGCATTTGAGATTGTTGTAAAATCAAAATAAACTGGAAATATCCAAACAAATCCCAACATTAGTTGGATGCTACCTAAAGCCAAGAACAAACAAGCAAGCAATGAACACTGGCATTTTGGTTTTTTGCGTGGATATTACAAAAAATAGTAATCATACACTTTTTTTCTTTTTAAATGTTCATTACTTAGATAAAGCACGTATGAATGTAACATTCAGAATTGTAACATAGAAAATGTAATATGGGCAATCTGCTATTCCAAGTACACTTACCAAAATACAATTTTATAATGAAGAAAGTCTCAAAATACACCTGTACAACAACTGGGATCCACAAAATATGATTTAATAGAATCACTCAAGATCACTTCATTGAAACCACTTTTATAATACTGTTTAAAGAGTCACCTCTGGTCAAAGAGCATTCTCTCCCTTTTCCTAGCCCATCCCACTAAAGCAAGGGTTGAATTGTAACTGCAATGCATATCTTTTAAAACCCTAAATCTGAAGCAGTCCTATGAACTATGACACTGCCTACACTTAGACATGGGGAGGATGGGAATCACCCTCTCTGAGGCCATGGTACATTGAAACACTTACCCATATTATTGTCTGTAGCGCAAGCAGAATAATCTTGTAAAGGGCAATTAAATAGGGTCAAAATATGAATTAATTATCTCACTACCAAATCATTCCCTATGTGTTACTTAAGCCTGTAACATTACAACGTTACTGAAAAAGAAAAAGGTAACCATTTTATCCTATATTTTCTTTATTTGCTTTATGTTTAGAATTTGCTATTTAACTTCTATTAACAGAAATACATATAACAAAAGCTCCCTATCAAGTGGAAAAAAAGTAATTACAAATGCTGAAAAAGTTGGCCTCATTAACATATGTACAGACTCACTTACTTAATACACATCTTTGTGGGAATTAAACCATTTTATGACACACATTTATACAGGCATTAAACATTCCCAAGTAATTTTGAGCAGAGAATATGCCAAATCTTTAGTCTGGGCAGACAAAAATGTAGATTTCAGTTTTGATTGTGGAACTAACATGCAACATTCAGTCTGAGCTGCTGTTGGTAAGTTGTTCTGTCTTTTCCTGCAAAATTGAACTTGGATCTCTTTGTCCCTTCTTTTCCTTGTTCTGCTGTTCCTGGAGCTTCAGGATTAATTTTCGTATTTCTTCTCTTTTTGTTTTCATTCTTGGGCGTGGAAACCAGTCTGTTAAGTTCATTGGTAGCTCAAAACTCAAAATGGGGTTCTGAAAAAGAAAGGTCATTTGGATATTAAGTAAGGAGTTACAACCTAAAAGACTGAAGAAAACTACAGTGAGTAAAAGTTCCAAGCTTCATTCCATCAGAATGAAACAAAATTTCTACAATTTCTGTGTTTTGTACATGCACAATTATGGTGAAAGTCAATCAAGCTTCAGTATGTTACAGAGTAACATTCATCCAGATCACAGTTCTGATTTTAAGAAGGCCCGAACAATTTACTCTTTTTGCTACATCTTTTAGACAAAGCATTTGACTGCATAAATGTGTAAAACTGACCTAATAATAATAAAAAAAAAGAGACAGAAAATTACTATAAAGATATAAGACATTTTTTAAGAATGACTAACATAAAAATCTAGAGCTGATTAGGAATCCATTAATAAACATTCCTGTTCTTATAAGTAACCCTTAGGACCACAATCAACTAGGAAAGTCAGTTTTAAATTTCACCCTAAAAAAACAAAGCCCCCCGGCTACCACCAGCGTTTTTTATACTTACATTCTGTTGTCTTGCTAGAGATCATTCATTCAAAGAATTACAAGAATATACTATGAGACATTATCTATGCTCCTTCAGTGATACTGTACAACAACTCCCCTCTAATGAAATGACAGTTTGTGGAATAGTGTTCTCTCAAACTCCTCCTTTTGTTTATTCCAGTTTACACCATTAACGGGGTTATTTCAGGGTGAATTACATTCATCGCTGAGGTACCACAAGCAAGGCTGCTTGCGAAGAACACTGGTGACACTGCCCAGGAAGGTGTCGGTGCCGGACGCTGCACTGGCTCTCCGTGCCGGGCTGCAGCCCCTGCCCGGCCCCGCTCAGTGGCCCCGCGGCGGCCCCTGGTGGCCACTGCCCGGACCCCCCACACCGCCCCAAGGAAACGCGGGCCACACACTGGGCAGGGCCCGATGTAGTTCAGCAATCAATTTGCAAGAAGGAAAGGGCTAAGATTATTGAAACTTGGTGGCTTCTCACGCTCCTGGTATACAAAACAGGAAGCACCTGGCTACAAGTTCTATGCTCTCATGTATTCACTGGTAAAAGCAAAAGCTTTTGTCTTCCATTAGCATGAACGCACTCTGCTCTCATGTAAAATAGGAATGAGGGGAGGGTTGAGGAATGAAGAAGCAGCTGCCAGCTTTCCCAGGGAAGGGGTAGCTACTGTAGAATTAAGGAACAAAAGCACCGTGGATTCTAAAGAGAGTTAGTGTCCCATGCAGGCAACGTTTCACTTGACCATCATTTCTCCTCCCAACCAAGACCAGAAGGTGCCAGTACCTCCACTTAAGAAAGGAGTTTGTAACTTGAAGACCAACTCAGCTGAAGTAACTGTTCAACCAATTCCTTCAATGGAAACAAGATTTGGCATTTAACAATTCACTTGCATGTCTTCCTGCAAGTTAATAAAACAAACAAAACAAAAACCCCCTACCTGTGCCACATTACTGAATTTGTTAGTCACAGTTCTTAGGAAGAAGAGAACAAGCTTTTTGTACTGCATTTTTAGTTTAGATTTTGAACTCAAGTTCTTACTTGAGTAATTTTAAAGAGTACACACCAAAAGAACACAAAGGTAGAGTCTAAATGTATTTTGTACGATTCCCTCCAAAAATTCCATGGCTTATGATTTCTCAGATGTATGTACAATCTAAGAAGATAATTAGTTTATTTTCCAAGAAGTTATTATGTATGTTATATATAAATTAGTTTATAATGCATAATCTCACAAATAGGTATAAGACCTAAACTAGAAGCTTTTTATAATTGCAATCATTTTCATAGCTTATATTTGATTGCTGCAGGAAACAGAAATAGATACACAAACATACATACCTCAAAAAAACTCTCCACATACTGCAGTATGTACACTCCACAATCACTGAAGTTGTTCTGTTGTGGCACTTTTGGGTTGGAACCTTTCATGACATCTTTGGAAAAGCTTCTTTTACTGCCTTTCCTGACTTCCCATTCCACCTCTAAATATCTATGATAAAAGAGCATGCAAATGAAAACCCATTTTGTTTTTATTCCTTGAAAAATTTTGAAAAAAACCCCATAACAACCAAACCAAACTAAAAAAGCCCCCAACACCAGATATGAAACTTACTCCCTTAGTGTTTTCACAACGTTTGACCGTGAAGGGCCTCTCAGTGAGTCCATAAGCAAAATGCAGGGCCTAAGAGAGAATACAATTTTTAAGTACACAGTATTTTACAGCAGCCTGAAAAACACAACAGTACACAGAAAAGGTTTGTGAGGTGACCTTAACAAAACTATTGTTAAGGTCACCTCACAAAAACTACAAAGTTCTGCCAGCACTGCTGTAACCCCCTAACTGGGATAGCTAAATGGCAAGTTACCTTTATATTTATCCATATACTAAGTACACTTAGGAATGCACTTAAAAATATAGTACTATCAGACCAAAATAATTCGTTACTGGGAAACACTAGTTGCTTATAACACCCTCAGGTGATTCTGTGATGTGTATTTTGAGGGGTAAATAAATGCAGATTACTCTTCATGAATCTCTGCTTTTTTTCTAACAGTACCAGATACACATTCAGATAAGGTATCCTTTAAAGAAGTTTCAAACTAGTAAATTCAGACAAAATATTTGCATGCATTTATGTATAGATGTGTTTGCATTTATAAACTAATTTACATGTATGCAATTTTTTAAGCATAACCACATAATCGCTTCAATGTTTTCTTGTACTTGTTTTAATTTCTGATAAAAGAAAGCTATTATTTATATAGGTAATGCTCTTTAAAAAAGCATAATCTAGTACTTTGAAGGAGACAGAGGTGACAGCTTTTTCAGGGTAATTTTCTATTTCATAGAGAAGTAATTTTAAAATATGCTAATAGTAAAGTATTTAAGTGCTCTTAATGACTTGATACTTAAGTGTCAAAGATGTTATGAAATTTCCCATTTGGATTAAAATACTGTCTCCTGGAAAGTATTATGTATACATAATCCGTCATTAAAATGGGACAAATTTAGCCAAGCTATAATCAGAAGCTCATAAATATTCTTAAAACTCACAAGACAGAGGGACTTTTACTCCTTTATGAAAATGTATTGCCACATATTTCATATCATCATCAGTAAATTTACAATTTTATTCTGCATCATAAGAGTGTAATTGTGAAAGTCTTCACCTTTCTACTAAACATTATATTCAAAAAGAAGGAAAATATAAAAAGGAATAAATGATGAAAACATACAAAGGAAACTGTCAAGACAGCAAAACTAGTAACAGTATTTCTGGACTTGGAATAAGGCATTTCTGACACACCAAAATGCAAACAACTGCAGTCAATGTTACCTAAGAAATTATTTCTGGGTTTCATATAGGAAAAAAAGTTTTCAAATCAAAAAAACAGATCAAAAATGAAACAAAAAAGTGTGGAATACTCTTATTAAAAAAAAATACTAAGAACAGAGAGAGACAACAAAGAGGAACAGTGAAAACACATTTACATAAGGGGGCAGTTAAAAATTATTCCCATTTTCTTTTACTAATTTGAGTAGTGGCAAAAGTTTTCTTTAGTATTACTTTCATTTCAAGACATTAATCTGCTTTTTAATAGAGGACACATTTGAACATGCTTCCGCACATTCCTTCTGTAGGAATACAAGTGCAAGATATCAAAGAACAGCCTTATTGGAAGAAAAAAATCTTTGCTTGCCTGAAGCAGCGCACAAACTTAACAGAAACCCAAAAAGCTATTATTTCACTACTAGTTTCATTCAATACATTTTCTGCTCACTGAAGCTGATAGTACAAAGTATAAAATTGTCTCTCAAACACTAAGAGCACGCTGATTAAAAGTGTAGGAAGACTCAGGTATGAGAATTTCCCACAATTACTGTCCTTTATATTTCATAAACTTTTATGAAATTCCCATTTTAACTGTTTTAATACTTACTGTTTGCAGATAGTTGGCTTCAGGTACCATTGTCCCATTTCTGAATTACAGTTATCATCTACAAGGCCACCATCATCACTACTGTCTTCCTACAGAAGCAAGATGGTTACAGGTGTTTAAAAGTTACTATTGTTTTTTTCAAACAGATGCAAAAGGAATTACTGCTACACTCAACCATTTTCATTCAAGACCAATAACCTAAGTTTAATAAAGAAATGGTAGCTTTAATCTGAAATGACTGATTGTTTGTAAAGTTTGCCAACTTTTAGTCACATGATTTCTCAAATCCATGCTGGAATGGCACGGATTGAATGGTGCTATTTATTTGAGGCCTGCTGAAACTAGAAAAAAACTGCAGCTGGTATTTTCAAAACACTGCTGCCTTGAAAGAGGTTCATCTCCATTATTTGGTTATAATCTAAATTATCAATACTTTTCTTGCTAATGAATACTAGAAACTTGCTTGGTGGTTTCACATATGTTATCTTCTAGGTGAAATGAGACAAAAATCTGCAATAAATTCACATGTAAAACTCTATTTTTGCTCCAGAATGCAACAACTTGGTTCTTAGGGCAAGGAAGATTAAACCACCATGATACTGTATATTATGGGTTGTAAAAACAGTCATGCCACAAACCTGGAAATATCTTCTGACCTTTTGATTTGACTGTTATGAAACATATGGAAGTTTTACGAACAAACCCACTAAGTTATTCTATGTAAAAGTATCCCAGTGATCCAGAGTTTCTTACCATTCTATTGAGTTCAATGTTACTACCACAGATAATTGTGTTATGGGGAAAGAGATGCTTTCAAAAATTGGGAACCCCGTCTCAGCATAATTTGTGAAAATTTTTGTGAGAGTTGTGTACACTTCACAATGATCCTGTGACTGATATCCTCAAGCTATGCCATGAACATTATCATATTAGAAACTACTGCCTAGTTCCTAATACACTTGTTTCTGTTGCAGCCTCAACTCCTTTTTTTAGCAGATGCAAAGGCAGGTGCACTCCGCATCACAGTCTATGATTTCTATACTTGCTTTGTGCATTTTAGAGGATATCAGTGACAACTTCAGCCTAAATTCTAAACTACACTGCAGCCAAGGAACTTGGAATCTGCTCCTCCTCTCAAGGAACACAGCTGGCCATGTGCTTGCTGCCCTGCCTTCATGCCATGTACTTCATTGTCCATCTTCTGGGAACTCTAACTCCTACAAAATAGACAGTCAGGCACTTCCATCAGGCAAAACTCAGAATGCCTGCACGAGTGGCACAACAGGAGAGGTGGACTGAGTCCGTTTGAAACACACAGTTATGGTTCAACATAAACTGGAGCTTTTGTATGTGTGTGCACAGATACTATTTGGAAGTCATTACAGATAGCTGCAGACTCTGAAAAATAATAGGTTGTTCTGGACTCAAAGGTGAAAACCTGAAATCATACACCTGGAACATGAACAGGAAGCCAATTAAGAAGAGCAAATGTGTAACTTCTAGCTTGCTCACGTTGATCTTACACTGCAGAAGCAACAGGGCTATGGAATAATGCCCTCATACCCAGTACTGAGTCAATAAAGGACATTTTGATGATCAGTTTTTCCACAGTTCTAAAATCTAAATGTTTTCCAATTTGAACAAGAGAGGTACTTGATTATATATTCAGTCTGTGCAAATTTGATCAGGAGAAGCACCAATGAAACAAAACAGCAGAGTAGCACATACTTATAAATGTGGTTGTTTATGTCCAGGAAATGCAACTGAAAGAAGAGTAACTTGCTCTTGGGTTTGGTAGATAAAACATGGGGGTGGGGCAGATGAAAGACAGAAACATATTAACTTTCAGAGTTTCCACTAAAATCACTGTGTAATATTGTCACTATGACAAAGACTCACAAAATTAAATGCAGGTTCAGTACAGCAGTTCTCTTAAACAGCTAAACTAACAAATGTATAATCCTCTCTGTCAGCTGATCTGCAAATTTTTGTGGGTAACCAGTCCTTTGGATTTGACACTTACAAAGATAACTAGCTTTAGGCAATGCACATTCACAATGCGTATACTGCTTTTAAGCTGTCCATTCAAAATACAACACAACAGTTCACATTTCCTAAATAAAACTGCTAAATTCTTTACCTGGTTATCTTGGTCTTCAGAAAAATCTATAAGCTCATCTTCATTTAGTTTACTGCCATCAGCTGAGTCTTCACTATAGTTTAGTCTGATTTTGTGCAATCCATCTGTATCAATCACAGACAGTAGGATATTTAAACATCAAAAACCCGATGTCATCTCTGAAGACCAAACACATTTTAAATACCTCAGATGTCCTCAGGATTGCTCACAGTAACTGTGATACAGCTAACATATAATGATTTAATCATGGACATGAACAAAAGTGAAAAGCTTCTTCTAATTAGCATAACAGAAAATATATCTTATTCTGTGAAATGCCTAAAAAAAATCTGAGACCCCTAGACTAAAACCCACCATGAAATTGCCCCATAGTTCCATGAACAGTATAAACTGGTACTGCCACCAAAAGGGGCACTGATTTACTCTCTAAAATAACTATTTATTCCTAACCCTAGCTGGTTCCTTCCATGACACCAAATACATTCACACACAGTGGACCAGACTGAGAAAGAGCCACAGGCTTATGATTTTTTAATTGGAAACACTTCCTTGATCACTGTGCAGTTAATCAAGACTTGTGGTGGTAAAAGCAAAAATGCAGCTTGGGAACACACTGCTAGGGAGAGGATAGAATGAAGGATCAGCTCTCCTGGGAGCAGCAGCTTAGAAATATTTCTGAAACTTCACTGCTACATAAAAAGAATATCTGTAAATTCACTGTCTACCCCCTCTATATATCTAGTCATTTAGGAAACAGCATCAGAAGAAATAAAGAATCATGAATGTTATAGCTATACCTGTGCAAGAGGCAGATACAGATAGCTACAGGCTCACTAGTCTTACTATACCACCATACAAGACTTCAGAACAGATTTCGAGGAAAAAGAATAGTAAACTGTGGAAATAAGTGAAAAATAAATAACTCGTACCAGCAAACCCCAAAAGCTTCCCAGAAAAGGGCTATGTAATATATCTAAACAATCACAACAATAAAGGCATTGCTTATGGTGTCACTGGAGGACATACTACCTATTAAAGAAAACCAGGATTTCTGTAAGAACAGTAAATAGGGCAATGAACTAGCTAATAGAGAAGACCAGAGAACACCTGCATTTGAGAATATTTTCAACAGAGAATCTGAAGTACCACTTTGGAAAGAGGTCACCAGGGGAGTTCCACAGGGACAAACTTGAGAATTAGTCTTACTCAGTGCCTTTGAAAAGACCTTAGCACAAGAAGTGGGTCATATACTAATGTGACTTATTGCTGACAGATTTCTAAAAAATAAAAATTGGTATTGAGAAGAATCACATCTCATTCAAAAAATGAGCAATAAAAAGAGGATTATTTAAGTAATAAATATAGATACATTTTGGATGATTTCTTCAAAGCTATTTAGGTATGAACTCCTACAGATTCACAGGTTCAACACCAGGATTTAGTTTGAGATCCAGACATCTCAGTTTAGGCTCCCATATATAGCTAGCACCTAGGATCTCACAATGTTGAAAGTAAACCATAATTAGAGCACAGATCTACTCAACTGAACAGCTACTCTATATCTGCTTTAGGATGAGAAGAGCAGGTCTCTTGGTTTCACTGGCCCTATCGAAGAGGCACCTGTTATCTTTTGAGATATCCCTGGATATCCAGGACATATGTATGGATTTGGCACAGTAAACATCCACACCCTTCTGGAGCAACAATCAAAGACTGGTCAGAAAAACCAAGGCAGAATGCCCATCTTCCATCTGGTTGAAATGGAAGATTAAATACATAGCACATCTAAATTTAGCAGCCTAAACATATCCTTAGGGTCAATCTCACCCTTAAACCAGGACTATGACCAGTAAGAACATCTGCATTAATGAAAGGGTGCATCATATGCAATAGTTGAGCAAGAGAGTCTGAGCATTTAAGTTAGAAACAGAATGACCATCAGCTGCCAATACAGTGCAGCCATAAAAAACCCCCAAGAAATGTAATCCTAGCAAAAATCTGTCATAAAGCATATTCCAATTAATTACAGACAAGTACCAGTAGCAGCATCCAAGACATGAGACTACATCATACAGCAGCAATATCATAAACAGTAACAATGACACATAAAATGAAAAATCAGTTCAAACAAGAACAGATCTATGCACACCCCCAGCACCCCTCCAAGACCTTCTAGAAAAAAGTGACAACGTTATCACAAATGAATAAATTTAGATTAGACAGTAATAGAAGATCCACAAAGATAGTGAAGTTGTAATGGCCTGCAGTACAGAGATTAAACCACGTGATTGATAATATTTTCAAAACTTGTACTATAAGTGATACAGTTCCTTACTGTGTAAATTAAGTTAGTAGGAATACTACTGGTGACTAAAGTAAAAGCTTTTGCATGACCAGGTGTTTTGTACTTTATACCTCAAGGGGATCCAAACCTTGCAGTGAACAGAGAAAATGATCTGTTCCTAATTTCTTTACCTGCCTTTAAAAGTTATGCCAGCTCCTTTGTTCACTTGGGTACAAATACTGTTGCAGATCACTGAACTCAGTTTCCACAGCACTAAAGCATGAAAAAAGCCTCTCTAAATGTAACATGGAAGAAATTTTTTTTTCTTTAGAATTACTTTCTTCTTACTTGTTTTTACCCACCTTATCAGTACATTAAAAAATGAATAGTGTTGAAGTAAAACCTCAAACACTAGAAGACACTGAAATTAAGGTTGCTCACAATCTTAATTCAGTTTCCTCATACACATACATTATAAGGATCCATGGTAAACTACTATTCTTTCTTTAACAATTACAGTCTTAAGTGATGCAAAGAGATATCTACAAAGTTATCTTGTTTGGAAAAAGGGCACAAAACTGAAAAAGTAATCTGATTTTGGCAGTGTTTTATCTCCAGCCCTTTGCCATGAGAGTTATGTCAACAGCCACAAAAACTTTTAAAATGCAATAGCTGTGTATTACTTATATTGCGAGCACTTGAAATTCAGCCACATACTAAACATTCAAAGTACGAAGTTTACACAATTGCAGAAGTAGTAACAGATGTGAAATCTCCAAATGTTTCATTAAAATGTGCATACTTTTACCATTACATACCCATAGATTGGCTAGCAGCTGTGAATTCACCCTGTATACCATTTTTATCCATAGTTCTATGGTCTAGTTTATGGCATGCTGATTCCACAGTGTTAGGTTCTTCCACATCACTGTCTGTTTGAGTCAGTTTTTTGAAAGCACTTTTCCCCCTACAAGGACTTCGTCTACAACATGAAGACTCGCTGTCCTCTGTTTCACTGTTTGGGTCAATTAAAGCTGTATTGTACTTTTTGGTCAATGTTTTCTTTGCTGTGGACTTGGAAGGCGAGTTTTGTGCATCTAATTCATTTGGCAAAGGAGATGGTGCGTTACTCTCTCCATCTGAAGAGGAAGATTTCATCGGCATTGCAGCATTTTCATGATAGTGGGGATTTGGTTCATATTTGGGTTTTTCTAAACCAGGGAAACAGATAACAGCCAAAAACCAGTGGGCTCTGTAAAGGAAAAAAAACCAATTAAAAATTAGCAATTACATTAATGCTCACAGTTAAACCTGAAATTAGTAAAAACCAAGCAAAACACTGAGTACACACACACAAAATAAATGCGCGTCCATAATTATTCAAAGATAAACTGTAATAGCTGTTCACTTTTCTGAGCAAGTTTTACTAAGCCTTCACAGTCTTCTGTAAAAGTAGGATTTCTTCATGCAAGCAATAATAACCAACATATATATTAATATGATGCAGTTAGTTGAAAACAGGTGCTAACTATATATTTCAATTTGCTCATACTTTATGTATTCCTTTCGTTCTCTGAATTAAAACTTATTCTTTTTAGTATTTTCTTCATCAGCGCATGAATTAGAGATTGTAGAGTTCATGTTTTATGGCTGTTTTAACTTTTCTAGTACTTCAGCACTAGCAGTATAGCTAGTCAGATCTAACAGTATAGCTGAATTGCCCATACCCTTCCACCTATGAAATCTTCCAATTGTATTCAACACTTCACATTTTAGAAGAAATCTTGTCAACAGTGAGTTAAAGAAGGGGAAAAAAAGAGTGTTTGTTATGCTATCACCATGACTCTGTTGTCCTCTTCACCCTTCACAGAACTGACATTCTAACTTCTTCAGGATCAAAAATAGTTATACTCCTCAACACAAAATAGGTTTTGTCCCCGTTTCCTCCTATCTCCTTGCCTTTTCGGGCTTCACTGACTTGCCACTCAATCAGAAATGGAACAGCAGCAAATTCAGGGACTGAGGCATTACAAGTGGATTTTAAATGACCCCATTTAGAAATTTTCTGAACGATCTCTGATTCCCTACAGCAAATAACACAACAGAAGTTAGCTTTATATTATACAGATGTGTTTTAGAAAAAGAAGAAAAAGCAGTAGCTAAAAACACTAATGATTATGAAGCCTATACTCTATCAAAACTTAATGGCAGTTAAAGTAAGTGGCCTTTGAAAACTGCATGTGAAGCATGGAGGCATTTTGTCTTGAATGATTCACCACACTTAATAAATTAACATATTAAGTATTGCCAAACCCTAGAATTTGTGTGTACTCTACTAATATAGACTTTATGCACCAATTATGTAAACAGACTAGCAAATTAACCTGGATGTAGAAAGAAAAGGTCTTGTAACTTTTAAGACAACAACGTATCTTCATTGGAAACTTGAACAAGAAGGACTGCACAGGCAAAGGACACTGATGTGTCCTTTAACCACACAATGTGGTTAAATCACCATATTGTTCTCAAGTTAATTCTCCCCTAGAGTCAATCTGCCCACCTCCAGTTACTGTAGTCTGACAGCCTGTTAGATGATGAGTCCATACTGCCTAAACTAGTGGTTATGGGACAGTCTGGAAAGGCTTTCTGGAAACAGTCACTGAAGTCCAGCAACTCCCCATCAAACCACCACTTTCTCATTTCCCTGGATATGTGGGTATTTTTCTGCTTGCAATATTCTTACTGTACATACCAGGAAACCACTTTTACAAATGAGTGTCCTGTTATCACCACTCACCAGGCTTCAACTCATGGTAAAGGACAGTTCCAAAGGCATGAACAGGATTATTTCCAGGTAACAGATGCACATTAGAAGTCCATTTTTCATGCTCTCATCCCATGCTGTCATGGATGAGTCCATGAAACCAAACTAGTCTAAACCCAAATCCCCAACCCGCACACAATGTGAACATTATGCCTTCAGTACAAACTACTATGTGTTAAGTTACTAGCAATATAAGTAATTCTTACAAAACCACAGAACTATTTATTTTCATTTTCAGGTGGCTTCTAAGTCACCCTGTCTGTTATTTGCAGGAGATAAGCCTCATTTCTCCTATGCATAAATAATGTAGATATCTGAATGATACAAGAGAGGACGGTGGGAAGTAACTATATAACAAGTGCTAAGGCAACTCAAAATTGAAACTACAGATACTTCAAAGTTCTGGTACTTGAAGCTTCAGGGGAGAGGGATGACAAAGACAAAGTCTATAGTGGACAGGAGGAATACCTTACATCTGAGCAAACTGAATAACCTAAGTATCTAAAAAACTAAAGTTAGTGCTTGTGAACAGCTTTCTTGGGAATATAATTCCAACTTTATAAAAAGGATAGATCTATGTATAGTTGTCTCCTAACTGCCTCTCTACAAATAGCCTCAGAATGGAGCTGGAGAGGAGGCAGGAAAAAGAGAAGATTCAAAAATCTTCCTCTCCACCACACAATGGCATGGTATCTAGATAAATTTCTTTTTATTAAACTTACTAGCTTTTTATTTAAAAAACCCTCTTTTTTGATTTTTGAAATATTAGCTAGCATGGCTATGTGAAGTTAGTTAGAAAACTCCTCTCTCTCTGTCCTGACTTTATTTATGTTTTTATTGTATGCTTTGAAAATGCAGCAGTCTACTTTGGCTTAAGGACTGTTTAGATTATTTCTGTGAAATACAGAAATGTGTTTGTGACTATTTGCTCTGATCTTAAGGAAAGCAAGCATCGAAGTCCTTAGCAACTATGACAGTGCTAATGGTCTCCCTCCTGACCCACAAAAAATATCAGGAAAAAAGGATATAAAAGAAAAAGAAAGAATAAGGTTCCCAAGGTGGCAGAGATTTTCAATTGAATTTTCTTCCAATATTGGTTTATTGTAACTAAAGGATGATCCCACCTCTACAGTGAGATCTCATTATAAAGGACTAAAAAATGTAAATCCAAAAGTTATCAGCAACAAAAGCTTCGGGGAAAGAGCTCCAGAGAATGAGATAAAACTTAGAAAAAGTACTCAAAAAAGTTAATTTTTCCTCAGTATTTCTACTGCCTGATACTTCTTATACTACAGCATTTAAAGGTCTTACGTAACTATATTGTTTTTATCACCTGGAAGAAGTTGTTACCTTCAATTCACACTACAATGTAGCTTTAAATTTTAGAATTATGAAGCTTAAACCTTTACAAAATATGATAAAAAGGCATGTTCACTTACGCTTCATTAAGGGGAACAAAAATGAAATCTTTCTCAAAAATGTCAACATGCCGTGTCCACGTTCTTACTCGCCCATGTCGCTTTTGTTGTATTCTGCAAGGAGAAACCAATACATAATTTGTAAGGTGGTTTATTTTATTTGAGGGACCTTTTTCCAGATATTTTCATCTTGACAGGTTGTTGAAATTTTCAAGGCATATTCTATGCTTGCTATGGGTCTGGATGAAATTTTCAAGGTATATTCTATGTTTGCTATGGGTCTGGATGCCTCCTTGAGTTCTGTTCTTCTGTACAAGAAGTATCTGTTCCTGTAGTCTTCACTGTACTTAGCTCTTAGTTAAAATGACTGATCAACAGACTTACGAAAGGTTTGAAGTCTCATGAATATTTCTTCTTTCTCTTTGATTAAGGCGTTTATAGAAGAATGAACTGAACACATGTATTCTATCAGCATCTTCTTTTTTTAGCTTTTCAAGTACCAAATACCTAATTAAAACAAACAAACAACAACAACAAAAAAGAAAAAATTAATAGAGATATTAAAGTATTCACCACCAGAGTGAAAAGGACTGCCAACAGTGCTACCCTTGATGATCTCAGATGTCTTTCCAACTCAGCTGATTCTATGATCCCCACCAAATTGATGCAGCTTCTCAAAAAACAGCTATTTGGAGCTGACATTCCACAGGAAACAATTAATGCGAAGTTTGTGTAAATATTTAAGGTATTAAGTGCTCTGCTCAATCAACAAGTTGTTCTCCTGCTGTTGCATTTACTTTTTTATCACAGTAAGAAAACAAATTTTCAATTAATTTGTTACACGACCTATTTTGTATTTCAGCCACTAGATCTCCAAACACTCCCAAGAGTGACACAATCATTTTCTTTTCACCTCTATAATATTTTAATAGACCGAAAATTATACACACGCACCTTATGTGTAGCATAAACACAGTGGCATGTAACAATTTAATAAGCTTCTAACATTTGTAGCATCAGAAAATCTCAAAATTAATGTATGTATTACATTATTCAAAACAAAAAAGGCTTTTTCTTTTTTTAGTGAAATTTGCTCTTCAGAAGTTAAAAAAATTATAAAGAACCTTTTTCCATGTCAGAACAACATCACTGTCAAGCAGGATGGGAGAGGAACCAAAATTTCTTGCAAAATTACAAAACAACCTTTAAAATTACAGCTATACATAGTTGGAGACCAAGTGTTATCAACTGACCTATGAATTTTTAATGTCAGAACTTCTCAAGTTTTAAAGTAAAAGACAACTAAAAACTGATGTGAAATAAAACTTACTTTAAATAAAAATCAATAATAACATCATTTAAAAATTCGCCTTCATTTAGACAATGGAGGTCTTCGTTGGTCACAGAAATACCGCCTTTAGCTGGAGAAGGCGGATAAACTATCAACCTGGGAAGAAAAATACATTCAATAAGAAGTATGAAATGCCAAAAAACCCTCAGAGAATTGTTACAGGGAAAAGATAATTATCTTACTTTTCTATAGGACCAATAAATACTGTATGTGGTTCACCAATTTCTTCATCATCCTCAAAAAACGGTAACTGTTTATTTCGCTGCTGCATTTTGGACTCAGAAGCAACCTTAAAAGAATAAAGTCAATATTAATTTGCATATGGTGCTCAATTTTACTGAAGCGGTAATAAAACTCTGGAAGTCCAGCAGTGTAATATCCATTGTTTTTGAAAAAGACTTCAAGTTTGGGTTTTTTCTTTCCTACTTCCATCTATTACACTTAGTTCTTTATTCATTTCTTGCAGAGTCACTAAACTCTAATTCTTTAAAAGGTAGTTTGTTTAAAGAAAGCATTAATTAAATGCAACTACAACACTGCAACCTTATTTCTTGTTTGAGATACTGTAATTTTACCAGTAGATGAACTGGGAAAAAATTATGTTGTCTAATTATACTACAGATTTCTCACCCCAGAATAATTTTTAAATAACATTTCTTGTGGACCATTGTATAACCTTACAATCAAACTAAACACCTTAAAAAGTACTGTGAGTGCACAGGCTATTTCTCATAGTTTCATAACCCAGCATGGACAATTATGGGAATCTTCATATTAAAGTCATCAAAAGTTGTTGGAAATTTTTTTTTGGCTAATGACTAATACACTGTCTTTAGTGTATTTGTAACCCAAATAATATAATGATTTTGTTCTAAAACAAAAACATAATTACATTTTTTATTTTGCTTTCTCTGTGAGATGGGCTTCCTTTGGAATTGTCTTCCAAGCACTTAGTAAATGCAACAAGCCTGGCATTGGCTTCTTCAAAGGAAATTTTCACAAAGAAGTCAGAAATATTATTTCTAATACCAATGTCAGTAATTATTTTTTCAAATATTGAGTTTGCATGAGGATCAAGACCGGTTTCAAAAATCAAAATTATGTATTGTTCTTCTTGACCTATAAAGAAGCAGAGAGAAAACTATTCATTTAGGAATAAAATAAAGCATGTTGCAATAATAAACAAATTTTATAGAATCGTGGGACAACATGAGTACACACTGCTGACAATACATGTAAGCAGCAATACAGATCTGTGCAGACAGACAGAAGGATTAACTACCAAATCTTCCTTACCGACATTTGCAAAGAGTGCATTCAACTTCTGCCTTAATCTAGCAATGTTAATTATACCTGATAAATTTTTAAATGACACTGAATGCAAAGTCAAAATATATTTTGTTTGAAATAACATCTCTGCTTAATGACAGTAAGACTCTGTAATCAATACTTTCTCTTTTTCTTATTGCTGTTCCTATCCTATTGTTTCAGTACAATTCCAGAAATTATGTATTCAGCATAATGTCCTCTCTGATCCTAGAAGGCTATACTATAAAACATCACTGTTTTTGAAGAAGTTGGAGAGAATGAGTCGGATCAAGCAGCTATTATATAAATACCACCCATTTATATCATCTGAAAAATCAAAAAGCAGTAAATTGCACTGAGAGGAATTATTTTAGGCAGTCAGACACAGGAATAGGATTCAGGCTGCAAATCCCAGTCTCACATAGCTGCCTAACACAGAGCTGCCAGAACCTGTTTCTCCCTAAGAGGAGTTTCAGACAGATGTATAACCATTTCCCTTTGGTCATTCCTAACCCAGCATGCTAACTGTTGTGAAAAATAATTCTTCAGCAGCATAAGTCTCAATTTACTGCACAGAGAATTTAGATGTGTAACTGGGTTTTGGGCGTTCCTGTTTTTGGGAACTAGGCATCTACACACAATTGTATACAAAGCTATGGATTCAGGCTCGAATTAATTTCATTGTTTACAAAGCAAAGAGCAACTCTGTTATCATAAAGTGCTCCTAAGTATGAAATACAATAAAGCAGCTAGGTATAAAACTAGTTCAGTGCCACAGCCTCAGGGAAAAGAGCTGCGAGGCACTGCTGAGAGGCATGCCAAGGGAAGGACTTCTCACACAGACAGCTCAGGAAGCTTTTCCTTTTTTCACTTGTGAACACCTGTGTCCACCTGGGGTCTACTTCCTGCTCCCAGAATTGTGTAAAGGTCCCCTGCGTGCTCTCCGATTACTTTTGTAATTATAATACTCCTTATAGCTCATACTTTTTATAGGAGGTGGATAAGGTTATTGTAATAGTATTATGGAAGCACACAATTCTGAGACTGTTGAAAGCTTTCTTCCTCCATTTGAATGCATCATGTTTGTACAAAACTGAGTATAAATAATCACAGAATTTAACCTAAAGAAAAGCCTACTGAAGGGTAAGAGGACTCTATGCTGATTGTAACAGGAGTGCATACGAAGATGCTAGGTCCTTGAAAACTATGTGGAAATTAAATTTTATTTTAACATGCACAAAGACTATCCACGTATTTTCCAAGCATTGGAAAATTGGTCTAACTCATAACATCACTACAAGTATACTGGGGAAAAAAATCCAAGCCAAGCCATACAACAGTTTCTACTGAAACTAAGGTCTGTCAGGAGTACAGCAGAGAAAGCAGAAGAGTAGTAAAATCTGTCACATAAGTGTAAAGACTCATATACAAAAGTTAAACAAACCAACTTGCTTTCATTGACTACAAATATTAGTGAAAAAAGTTATAAACTTTTAGTTATAAACTAAACTGACTGAATGTTGTAATTAATTAGCATGTGTCTGGACAAACAGAATGCCAAGCTGTTCTGAACTGTAACTCTTCACCAGCCTTGGAAGGTGACAGTGACTGAAAATACACTACACCTACCCCAGCCAATGATGACCGTTTTAGTCTTAACGCATTTAGTCTAAATTCATGACCCAAAATATTAAAATACAATTTAAAGTCAATAGTAGACTAAAATTGTTTTACTTACTGTCTCCTTTACATTCGTACCAGACATTATCTTTACTCATTTTCAGTTGATCTCTCAGGCTACTACAGGTTGCAGGTACTGTTTGTAGGAAAACTACTGGCAATTTTCGGACACTACACCATTCACATTTGGTAAGCTCTGAAGTTTTCAGGTTAATCTCTCTGATATCGTTTTCTGATTCTACGAGAAAATAATAACATAATATTAAATTATAACAAAGATTTTTATCTTTCCTTTACAATTTCCACCTTGATTTTAACAAGAAATCAGTATGTGCTCACTAACACTCTTAAAAGTTTTTAAGACTTTGAAGTTAACGCATATCCAGGAAGTGATGGGTTTTTATATCTTAAATAAGACAAACTGAATTCCAATGTCACCTGCCAGGAATCAGAAACAAACTGTTTTCTTCTCACCAACTTTAATCTACTCTTTATTCCATGGGAAAAAAACCCCCACAGTTTCCAGTGGTTTAAATTGGCAAATATTACTATGACACATTTTACAACAGGTTTGTAAAACTTTCTTTGTAGAAAGTTCTCTTATGAAAAATAACTTTAAAAAGAAGAGGAGAATAAACACGTGCAGAGAAATGATCTGACAAGGTAACAAGGTACTGCTCTCAGTTGACTTCCAAAGAGAAACGACGGTAACATGGTAAATTTTTAACACTACATCTGATGGCTTCCAATGCCAATATTGAGTATTTTACAGGTTTTACTGAATTATGAAACTGAATACAGAAATTGATATAGACGCAAAACTCAAAAAAATTAAATGGAAAAGTGCTAAATGCTCCAACAGACACAACATTTAATGAGTCACCATTTTTATGCTATTGAGGGATCAGGTCCCATGAAAATAATTTCACTGTGCACCTTTTTTGACTAAACTTGATAGCTGTCTTCTACAAATTATAGTAAGCTTTTTAGTGTTTTATTTTTTAAAATACATTTAATGCATGAAAACTGGTAGTTTCTATTCATCTTTATTTTAGGTGCAACATAAATATACTTGACTGACAAAAGCTACATTTTACAGGCTGTGAGACACCTTTCTGCATATAATAATGACAAAATACAATAGTTCTCTCTAGAAATAACAAAAGCAAAATTCAATAGAACTGTATCTTAAGACTGCACCCAACAAAAGGTAGCAAAGTTTTTCAGGCCCAGAACAAAATCCTACAAAAGAAAAGGAAGAAAACAGAGCAAGTGTTGTAAGCTCACCATTTCCTAAGCTATGTCATTTATTCTTTATACTGTATTTCTTTCAGTAACATGAAATATACAACTTTTAGGCAAGAGAAAAAATTACCAAGGGAGATATAGACAAGAAAGGTCTAAGACACCTGGGTGGTTTTTACTGTCTACTTATGATAGCCGAAATAATGAACTAATATAGTGTTAAAGAGCTAACAAGTTTTACAAGAGGGTTACTCTTGCTTTTTATTTTTGATAATAATTTTCAAGACAACCATAGCCCATCATCACCAGAATATCTACAGATCTTCAACTCAGATGAAGGGGAAAAACTAATGACCCAGCTGTACGCACAGCACAAATTGCTAAGTCCCGCTATCAGTGAATTTTTTCCTGTCAGTAGATGGCAGAGATAATGCAAAATCCTTTTGTTTTTTATTCACCAGGTAGTTTAGGTCAAATTTGTACTCTCCATTTTTTTTTTCTTATCTGACTACAGGCACCAGTATAATTTATTACATAAATGACAAAACCAGAATGAATACTGAATTATCATTCACTTGTTAATACCTTTAACAAAGTTACTTCATTCAAAATATATATATTGAGTACCAACATAACGTGAAAAATGTACTCACCTTCTTGACTCTCTAGCCGTATTTTGATATAATCCAAGCAAAACTGAAAGAAAACATAATAGTAAGATTTCACATCTTCTCCAAACCAAAACTGACTGAAAGCCTTTTAACTGTTAGTAAATACATTTCAATTGACTAAGTACTTCAGTAATAAACATTTTAAAATTAAAATTTTACATGTCAAATTTTTAAAAAAACCCAAAATGTACATTTTAGCACAACTCAAGGAGGCAAGCACATTCGTTACTACTCAAGAGTCCTTTTCAGTCCTACTGTTGAATTTTAGATCTCTCTCAAGTACTCAGTTTCCAAAAGTATTTACAATACCTTGAAAAACATAACAAATTGTATTTCTTCAAAAGAGAATGTTATCTATCATTATTTAAGCAAATTAAAAAAAAACCAGGGTTTTGCAGGAAGGTGGAAAGAACAGGTAACACCTCTCTGCTGTTTCTGTGGTTACCCCAGCAATAAGTATGCGTTTTATCTGGCTTACTGCATACAACTAACCTCCAATGTCTCCTTGAAAACTTCCATGTAACTTGGAAGGCTAACAAAAAAAAAACATTGTTCTATAGAAGCAAAATTAATTCACCTGTAGGACAATGCTTCTTCCTCCCACTTATCAATATCCATATTTTCTGTGGCTGTTGTTTTCAATTTTCTTAAGAAAGGCATACTAACCCATAACTCCCCAGCAACCAAGTAAACAGGATTTTCAAGGCTTTTGTAGGCACAATGTTTCTATTAAAAACCAGAGCTAGACTGCAGGTGTTAGTACGCAATAGTAATCTGAGTTTCTTTGGAAATCATGGCCTCTGGAATTATGGACAAACTCACTGTTCCACAGACAAAGGCAAAATATTACGTTTTTTCAAGTATGAAAATAACAATGTCCGTGAAAACCTGAAAGGAGAGCTGTCAAATAACAAGTTTACTTACAATCACAGGTTCCACTACCATTCTTCGTAGCGTTCCTATTCGTATACTTCGACAGTTCAGAATGACACTTTCACAGGAATTTTGATAATTTAGAGGTACAGTCTCGGTTACCATCTCTTGAGAAATAACTTTACGACGTTTTATTGGAGTGTCAGACAGAATGTTCCCAAACTGAAAAGTAATTTTCAAGGTTTCAGAATGTCTCACTAAGGTTTATTGCTAAACCAAGCTTGTTAAAACTAAGGACTAAATTTTCGGCAAGTTTTCTGTTGGTCAACAGGATTACTTGCTAGAGCTTCCACCTCATATACAGAAGGTAGATATTTACTAAAAGACTTTTTGGGAGCCTGAGGATGTTAACATTGCTACATTCAAGAAGAAAAAAAAAAGGTAAGCTGACACTTGTAGACATTTTGTTAACATTTTCAAGATCGTGAATAGTGCTTTTAAAATTGCCAAAACCAATTCAATTTTAGTCATTTTGAAACGTGCACCTGGCAAAACAAAGTTATTTTTAGTATATTTTATTTATTTAGATAAAAACACTAATGCCCTAAAAATACAACAATGTTGGTGGTTTCATTTTTTTTCCAGTTTTTGTTAATCCAAGCTTTTGGTGACCAAGTAATTTTTGAGGTACAATGCATCACCACATTAGCAGAGTAGAATCCTCCAGAAATATAAATAAGCCAAATCAGAATTCCTCAAGGCATCTCTACAGAACTACTAAGATGCTTATAGGACAGATTCCAGGGTCAGGAGACTATGTACTGAAAGAAGGCCATGTGGAGTTTGGCTTCAATTCAAGAAAGTCTCTAGATGCTGACTGAAGCTGTAATCTCAATGAAGTATCCTGTTTACCAACAGAACAATCTTACAAAAAACCTATTAAAATGAAATAAAGCCTGCTGATAGCCATCAGATTAACGTATTTATTTGTTGTATTGCTTATATTGCTCTAGTTTGTTGAATTTTCTGTACACTAGTCTTCTCTTTGGTATTTATATCGTTTCATAAAGCTGTCCATGAGCAAGCATTCTTTTTCGTTACAAAATACAATTAAACTCCCACAGAAAAACATTCTACAGGATTCAGTATTCTATTAAGACTAAATCTCAAAAACTATATCCAAGTCCCTAATCACTAGCCCATCTTGGCAATAATTCAAAATATACTTTTGGGTGCTTCATTTAATACACTGGAGAAGGTAGGGATCTAAATCCCTGTAATTAAATGTTTTCCTAAGACTCTTGCTGAAGAGAGTTTTTCATTTTTGTCTACTGGACTGGCTAAATATTATTAAAAGCTTAAAACAAATCACACACAATAAAACAGCAAACATCAAAGTGGTGCTATATTCAAGTAGCCTCTTCAGTGAAGAATTAATGCATATTTTGAGAGAAACACAACTGAATGAAGCCTTTTCTATCGTATCTGGCAAAACTGTTGTGATACCTGCAATTCTTGGTCTTGAATCAACGCAAAATTTGTGTTATACTTCACCAAAAAAAGATCTATATCCCTTGTTTTCAAATGTAAGCTCTTTTCTACTTTTATCTAAAATATGTAGTTAATTTCCAGTTTTAAAACTGGTTCGTAAAGACTAGTGACCAGGAACATATGGATATACAAACATTTGAGAGACTTTCAGAAGTCTTAGACACCAGTGCCTTCACAACACAGCGCTTTCAGTTAATTCAGCAAATACCACTAGAATAACTTAATTCAGAACTTTTTATAATCCAATCTTTTAGCCCCACAGCTTTATTGTAGGCTTAGAGGTTCACAGCTTTATATTGACAGTGATGACTAATTATACACTACATTATAAACATCCACAGTTTCATCAATTACAGCACTAGAATGTTGGCTTCTTTAGTGTTCTGACTCAGAAAACATAAAGGACTGGAAATCTGATCAGATACTCTTGTTGAATCAAACTCACAATAGTGAAACTGGACAAGTGACTCAAGAATGGTTTTAATCAGCACTATTAATCCAATACCAATTGTCACAGGAAATTTATTCCTCTTGATGGCTCACTACTGAGACAGCTTTTACCACAGCGTGAAATCTGTCCCTTTTGACCACACTTAAGGTGTCTGCTCATGGTACATTTTTTTGTCTTTGTTTATGCAATTCTTACAGTAATATTCAACTAAAAAACAAAACCCCCATCACAAAACCCCTAAAATAAGTGCTATTAGTTGGGACAGTTGTCGAAGTATTTTAATTTTCAAGGGCCACTATTGATACAAGTGTCTCTTTTCAAGTTTAACTTCGTATGTCCAAAGTCTTAACAGGCAACAGCTGGTTCTGACATTCTTCTGCAAACTAAGTAAGCCCTTGAGCTTCATAGAGAATCCCTGCCCAGTCTCAAAGAGTAAACATTCAACACAGAAGCATTTACGTTAACAGCATAACTCAAATCATCATGAATCCTTGCAAAAATATAATGAACACATTTTCTTATGCTTCCAGTATTACGTAGGCCAAAATACTACTTGATTAGCTGCTGAATAAGAAAAACAATCAAATATAGTCAAAATGTGACAGTGCGAAACAAGCCTTTACATATTCCGTTTATTATTTGATTTTTGTTTTCTTTAAACAAAGCATTAAATAGTACCTGATCTTTCATTCTTGCTTTTCTTGGTAGTGTGACTGCAATTTCTGTATCTGTTGTTATACTACCTATCCTCTGTTCTATTCCACAACTGTTCTCCTTTAATGCTGCTTCCACCTTTCCTGTAGAAGGAGCTGGGGAGGAGCGGGCTGAATCTGCAGGACGAGGTGAAATGCTTTCCATTCTCCTAGTGCTGCCACTATTCTCCTCCTCATCATCATCACTAGACAAAACAACTAAACAGAAAATATTAAATTCTCAACCACTAAATTTTTCTGTAACAGAAATTTTTTTTCAAATAATAGTTTAAAAGTAATTTATATAATTGTCCTGCAGTGCCAAAAAAGTCCACATGTATCATTATATTATGCTTTTATTAATGTTTATTTGGAATCTGCTTGCAGGTGCTCTCTCCCTCGTTTTTCATTTCTCACAACTAACTCTACAAAAAATGGGTATCATTAATCCACCTCTAGATGTGAAGCCATACTTTCCTTGGTTCAATCAAGAATTGACAGTAAACAATGCAACTTAAAAACCAACAAGAAAATTATGACTGAAATCATTCAAATCAGTAGGACAACATGGTCTAATAAAATAAGCACAGAACCAGAAACATAATTTCTCCTATTCCATCCTTCCTGCTTATAAATTGAATTTACATACAGAAAGCACAAAAATTAAATTTTACAAACTGTGAAATTTAAATAGATGTGTAGTTCAAAAGAAAAGGGAGAAATTATTAAATAAAAATAAAATACTGCCTTCCCTTTGGGAGAATGAATAATGGAAATCTGCAAAGAATGCTTTTTCTAAAAACTATAAAGTGTAAGTCTTTTTTAAACAAACAAGAACAAGATTAACAAAATAATTTTTGCTTTCCCCAATCTTCATCTTTCTTGGAGAGGACCTCTGCATACAAAAAGGAAATTATTAAAAGTTCTGTCCCCCTTCCCCAAGAACATATACACAAAAAAATTCCATGCAACATCAGTAATGTAAACCTGCACAAATAGTTCCTTCATTATACCATATTTTGGGTTTCCAGCTTAGGGCTGTAGTCATAAAAAAGTACTTACTTGGATCATTTAGTTCAGACGGTCTTGTACTTCTCTGTCTTAAGCTTCCTGTAATTTTAGGATTTTTTGTCCCAGTTATAAGACCAACTTTCCCATTGTGTCGTAACATAGAATGTCCTACAACTTCATTACTCAGTAGAATATCTGCTGGACCTTTTCCAACAGCAGAACTATAAAACTTCTTTGTGCTGAACCCTGTACCTGAAGATTTTTGCCCTGCTGAATTCTGATGTATTGAAGAACGTGATAAAGGTCCCACAGATTCACTTAATGCAACAGTTTGTCTGGAGACTCTTTGCAAATCCTTTAGAGAAGTACTTTCACAATGTCGGCATTTGGTCTGATTTTCATTTGCCCTCCCACAATTTGGGCAATCAGTAGAATAATCAATCTGTTCCAAAAGGTAAAGGAGAAACACACACACAATCAGTAATTGTAAGCAGAAACATACCATTAACAAATCTTGCACTTAATTTCTGTTCAGAATGAATCACAGAATCATTTAGGTTGGAAAAGACCTTTAATATCATGGAGTCCAACCATTAACCGAGCACTGACAACTCACCACCAAACCATATCCCCAGGTGCCACATCGACATATCTTTTAAATACCTCCAGGGATGGTGACTCAACCACATCCCTGGGCAGTCTCTTCTAATACCTGAAAACCCTTTCGGTGAAGAAGTTCTTAATAATATCCAGAGACTGAGACCACTATGTTAGCAATTACAGTAAGCAGAGAAAGCAAACATTAAAATACAGCTTGATTTTTTTTTTTTTAAGAAAATGAAAAACATTCTACCAGGAACAAACATCATTTGTGGCAATTTTTGAAAAAGTGATTAATGTTGGACAATTCGGATTTTCCTTCTTGCCTTTTTTCCCTTAAGTAACACACTGTTCAGATACATATATCCATCAGCATATATCCATCAGCAAGATCATCCAGTTATATATATTTCTGTAAAAAGAGTTTTGTTGTGAAATAACCTAAGGATCCACAGAGCAATGCCAAAGAGGACTCAAAGAAACCTCGTAGGTCAAAGTCATTTGTCTTCCCAAGATATTTTCTAACAGCCTGGCAAGTCATGCAAGAAAAATCACTCCTCAAGGGAGGGGAAAAAAAAAGAAAAGTAAATACATTGCTCGAGTCCATTATCTCCAAAAAGAAAACAGGACTTGAGGAATAGGAGTTCCCCAAACTTACAAGAAAGCAGGGGCTCAAAGAAAAATGTGTATCCTATCACTGCAAAGACAGAGGTGTCTTTTGTTTTTCTCACATGTACTAGGTCCAACTTAATTATGTATTACAAGTGTAGAACTTGGACTTCTAAACCTAAGGGATTCAATACTAACACATAAACTACAGAATGTGTACCAAACTGAATACAGGACACCTCTAGAGCCAAAATTTAGTGCGTGTTATTGTCTCCTGGAACACTGAACTCAAAAGGCGTTAACCACTGTACTGTGAACTACTGAAGATAACAAATACCTACATCCCACCAAAACCTCTTGAAATCTAGTTTCAAAACACAGTTATCACAATCTACACTACCCCCACTCCCAGCCATGAACACGCTTCCAAGAGTTCCTCAGGTGTGCGACCTTGAATCAATTCAAAACCCAAATGTAAAGACCAAAGTCATACAATGACAAAGTATTATTTTTACCAAATTTCTGCAACTTAACAAAGCTACGCATACTATAGAGAAACAAAAAAATTCCCCAGTGCATAAAATATATCAGACCTTTAAAATCTGAGTGGTGGGAAGAGATATCAAGTGACATGAAAACGAGTTGTGCCTCAGTGCTGTTACCAGACGTAGTTCTTAGAAAGTCACTGCTTATCAAATTGAAGAATTTCAGTCAGACATTAAAATATTCAAGAGAAGGTACCAACTGTACCTGAAGGATCTTAGAGTAACTGTACCCCTCTACTTCAACCACACACCAAGAATTTTAAGCCAGTTTCTTTAATAACATCATATTAATTAACTAAATATGCAATAGAAATGTGTAAGGGCAGTACCAAGTGTTTCCACCTAACAAAGAAATACAGTCTGAGTTACTTTCTAATACACAAGAGCAAGCACAAGCTAACTATATACAATAATCATAGATCTGTGATTTATTTTTTTAATCAAGATCTCCTTACAGGAAGGTTTTCTTTGATAGTCATACAGTGTGACCTGTATGTGGGCATTATGAAACTTCCATAGTAACCTGTGAAGTTGATAAAAATAGAGAGCCTTAGAGGAATTTCAAAAATATCTGACGTCCGATATTCAGAAAAGCTCCTGACAAAAACATGTTGGTTGGCTGCATCTAGACCATAGAGAATACCATTTGGATACCCAAAAGAGCTAGTTTCACTGAAAAAGCAAGCAACTTGGTAAGAAGTACTTGCATTTTTGCAGTACTTTACTGTTTTGAGTACAGAAAATCATGAAATTATCGGTCTCCAGTTTACCAATCAACCATTCAATTAAATCAGATTCTTGTTCTTTTCAAATTCTTTTTCTGTTCAAATCAAAATATAAATATTTCATGGCTAGTATTAATACGAACATTTAAATATCTCTATCATTGTAACTTTTTTTTATTTGTGTAAATCTTCCAACTCTAAGGATTTTTAAAACCTTGTTTCACCCCTTCGAAGTCTGCTTTTAAAATATGCATTAATCTTTAAACTTAAGCCTTTACATGTTTTTAAAATCTAACCCACCTTTGACTGAGTTAAGCATTTTTTTGTAGCAGAAGATTGACTCAAGTCAGATTGATATGAATTGCAGTGACTTTTCTGTCGCACTTTTCTCTTTATTTCACATTCTGATTCTGAGTCTTCTGTATTTTCCATTCCACTGTCTAGGAGAGAAAAAATGCAAAAATGTTAACGTTACATGCCCACTCATACACTGTTATATTTATGATCAACTTAGTTCTTTACATACACTAACTTGAACCAAACATAAACACCTTTTTAAATTTCCAACAAACTACACTGCTTCAAGTGTCTCATGATTTGTTGTATGAGTAAGAAAAAAATTCCCCAAAGTAAATTCAAAAATGTTGTTTTACTAATGCTGTCTCAGTGTCTCTCAGTGACAATTTGTATCTTGATATCTTTGGAGGAGGCTTTGGATTTGCAAGTCTATACTAACTTCACTGCGGATCAAATGGAAGGTCTGCTGCCAAAATAGGAGGGGATGCTAGATTATGCTGTTGGTAATCTTTACTACAGAATTACTGATGAATGCATTTAGAATAATTGGGAATGTTCTGTGTAATTACAATTTCACAGAATCATCAAGGTTGGAAGAGACTTTCAAGATCATCTAGTCTAACTATCAACCTGGCACCACCATAATCACCCCTTAACCATATCCCCACGTGCCACATCCAGACACCTCTTGAACATTTCCAGAGACTGTGACTCTGCCACCTCCATGGGCAACTTATTCCAAGGCCTAACCACTCTTTCAGTGAAAAGATTTTTTCGAGTATCTAATCTGAACCTTCCCTGGCATAACATAAGGCCTTTACATCTTGTCCTTTCCCCTGAGACATGGCAGAAGAGACTGCCCCCCACCTGGCTACAGCATCCTTTCAGGTAGTTGTCGAGAGGAATAAGGTCTCCCCTGAGCCTCCTTTTCTCCAGACCAGACACCCCCAGCTCCCTCAGCTGCTCCTCATATGACTTGTGCTCCAGAGCCTTCACCAGCTTCACTGTCCTTTCCAGACACACTTCAGCATCCCAAAGTCCTTTTTAAAGTGAGGGACCCAGAACTGGACACAGTACTCGAGGCACAGCCTCATCAGTGCTGAGCTGTCACTTTTCTAGTTCTGCTGTCCACACTGTTCTTGACACAGACCAAGATGTCAGTGGCCATCTTGGCCACCTGGGCACACTGCCAGGTATAAACCAGCAGATTTACTCTTTCAGATTTACTCCTTCAACATAAGACACAACAGTACAGTGAATTACAGTGTTTTATACTGGGGCATTCATTTAAATACTGTAAGAGTATAGGAACACAGAAAACCATGAATTAAAATCTCACCCTGTGCATTTTAAGAAGGGGAATATGTTGTACAAGAGTGCCTCAATTAGATTTAAAGTAAAAGTGCGACTTATATTCCCTAGTTTAATTGCAGTCTCCATGTTGGAACTTTTTTTAAGACTGTCTTTTTTTCAAAAGTTATGAATACTTTTTCAGTATACATACTGATGATCTCACAAACATCCTATCAGACCACATCTCAAAACTAAAGAATACCTTGTTTTCAAAAAAGAAACAATAAAAGGTGGGGTTTTTTCTAAGTTAACTTACTTTTCAGTAGTACTGCTGAAATTCTACTTAACATTTAACCTAAAACGGCACAGCAAAACAACTTGCCAGTGGAGATGGCTATGCAGCTGAATAGCAGGTTTACAGAGTGTATCTGTACTAACAAAGCTTAACAAAACACAAAAGTGAATTTTCTTTTCCAGTTTCACAATTTCCACACCTCAAGACAAGCTACATTTTCTCTATTGCACCTCCATCAATTTTCCCTAAAAGCTGAGGTACAAAGCAGTGCTGATGCTGCTCTTCTATTAACTCCTTCAGTGTATCAATATACCAAGTGTTTGTTGGTTACCATGTCCTATTGTTCTCATACTAACACTACTACAGAAGTTCCTCATCAATAATTCACAAACAAGCTGGAGGCCTGGGCTCAGACTGGATGATCTCCAGAGATCTCTTCCATCTCCAATTCTGTGACTCTAAATTTTCCCTTATTTCTCTTGTTTCTAAAGTAACTGAAGCCTAATTTAAAATTACTTACTACAAGACTGAACCAGTTACAGAAATCTGTCAAAAAGGGCAAAGTGCTCACTTCATGCACAAACTTGTATAAAGCCAGAATAACATGATGTAAGGCTATAAATATATATATATGTACACACACACTAAAGGTTATGTAAGATTTGGCAACACACTCATATTCAAAAAATTATTCTGCTTAAAAGAAATGAGAACTCTAAAGATAACTTACCCGCTCCTTGTGACCGTGGTAATCTAATGTGGTCTGCCTCTACTTTCTGAAGCTGAGGTGGGTATTCTTTTCTGGAAAATTAATTAGATGTATGGTTGTTCTTTCGACAGACACCATTATAATTTAGTCACAATTATACATTAACAAAATAAACCTGAAATGTATCTGAAAGCTCTGAATAAGTAACTTCTCTCTATTACATACTATTTGTACACTTAAAAAAGTATTGCCAGAATGCTAGGAACAGCCACAGTAAATGTCTTGGAAGTGTTTCTAATCTAAATCTCTTCTGATAATAATCAATAGTTCAGGAGTCTCTCACTTGCAGACCCAAGTCTCCAAATACTGAAGCCTGTATCTTCCCCCCCTCCTCGTCATTCAAGAAATACAAGACAGATACTTTTAAAAGCCAAGAATAGAAACAATATTATTTTAATATTAAAGTAGATTCCACAAGTTCCACAACTTAAAAAACAGGAAAAGAAGATGCAAAACAGAGGGAAGAGATCTGACATCAAAAACTGTTCTGGCCAGAAACCAGAAAGAACAACACAGGATAAAACATAGTTCCTATATATTTGTTTTTAAAATATTGTAATTAATTTAGACAAATTACTGGATAATAAAACTTCTGTTGGTGTAATTTGCATAATAAAGATATCACATATTTTTTGTGCAAATTACTGCAATACAAGGCATTATAGTAAGATTTCTTTAAGTTTCCTGAAAGATATTTTCAGTTTACATACACATGCATCAAATTATGCTACTACCAAATTAAGATTCCTGAAGTTCACTGCATCTTGGTTACTTTTTGTGGCACTTTTCTTTCTCAGTGCTTCCTCTGCCCTGAAGCTGTAGGTTACTGTTCCTGTCATAATAGAAGATGGCATGCACCTGAAACACAGGAGGCCTTGCCAACAACGTCAGCAGAAACTGGTTTTATTGGCAAGTTAAGCAATGGGCTGCAAATAGGCCACACACATCCCATCCTGCTACCTCTGATTACAACCAACAGCAAAGGAGTGAAGCACACAGCTGTAGGCAGTAACATTGCCAACTAACAGCTTAATTTTGAGGACCCATCTGAAAAAAATTTGGCTATGGCTGATATAGACTTCAGCACTAATAAAATAAGATTTTATTTCTTCCAGGACAGCATTTCCTAACGCATCAAATTATAAAAACTTTGAATTTTCTGCATTTCAAGGTAATATTTCTCAGGGTCTTCACGTATTTTATTATTAACTAACAGCTATTGCCTGACAAGTCATAATTACCTTTCAGTAGTATTTCATAACATGTCTTGTTTTGAATATAATCACTCTTAGAAAAATTATTTTCTAACACTGAAATTATATTTCAGAGAAACAATATTGAAACTATTTGTCATTTAATTGAAAACAAACAATAAAGTAAATGATATGGCAGATTTAGAATACTAAAATTTCGTCTAAAATGTAGTCAACAATTCAAAGTCTCTGGACATTTCTAGTTTACAATTTTTCTTCTAAGAATCAAACAAGATTGTATTACATTTTTAACATGCAATATATATTTATCTTTTTAAGATGATAAATTCATTATTTACCATATATGGCTAAATAATTCTTTTACAATAAATCAGAATACAGTAGCATTATCTACCCCTGTCTGAATTTTATGTTAGCAGCATAGACTCATATTGATACCTATTCAATGGCCAAACACCTGCAAGAATACAGAAGAGCTAGCAAAAAACGTGTATCTTTTTTCTCCTACAATACAGAATTGTTACTCATATGGTCACAATGAAGCAGCGGCACCCAAACCTAACTCACAAAAACCAGCTCCAAATCAACTGAGGCTTCCCAGCAAAGTTTAGCATGGTTAGCAATTCAAGGTCAGGCTTGAAGTTGCTTTGAATTAGAAAGAAAAGATGATTTCAATCACTACTTAATTTCAGATTTCATCTGAAAAAAAAAATGCTTTCTTGGAGACAGTGACAGCCCTCGCACATGAAGGCAGAAACACAAAGTGCCTCCTACTAGTTTCCTTTCCCGAAAAACCCACACACAAACAGGAAGGCAGAGCCCACCACCACAAAGTTTTTACAGACTACAGCACTAAGGTGCCCCTCTCAGCACAATGTCTATTGCCATCTGAACACTTGCAGATCCATTAATACCTTCTCCAGTAAAGCACTCATTTAATTGCATGTGAGTGCAGAAACAGAATGGAAACTATGGTGGTTTTTTAAATTGAACACGACACATCCTCAATTACCATGTTGTTAAACCCTAACCAAAACTAAGTCTTCCATTTCAACAGGAGTAACTGAGAGATCAAACACCTGAACAGATCAAGATGCAAGACTACCTACATACTGTGTCTAACAGTTAAACACCCCAAGAAATACAATAACAGTTAAAACCCCCAAGAAATACAATATTGATTGCTGTTCCTACCATCCTAGCAAATACTTAAAATATACTTTTTTTTGCCTGTTACATTTCCTAAAAATATTTATGAGATTCAGATTTTGCTTGAAGAACAAGGCTCCATTCTAAGAGGTTAAACAATTTTAGGCATCTCATTTATCTCATCCATTATAAGCACTTTTAATACCTTTAAGTACAAGGGAAGTAGACCAGTATTTGATAAAAGCAATCTCCAGAAGTAGTAAAGCATCAAACACAAAACATTAATCACAGTACCAAGAAAGATCGGGCTGTTTCTGCAACAGACATGACCGAATACTGAGGCAGTCTGGATTGTGCAGAGTCATGAACTTTTGACATATCTTAACAGCTAAGTCCTAGAGTATTCTTGACCAAGCATGTTTTGCCCAGACAGAATGGTGTCACTGATTTTGTATTTTAAGCAAACACTCATGATCACTGCCATATTCCTTTACTGGTGGAATTGGACCTTAACATCTTCACATCGGACTGCTAGACAGACCTCCACAACACCCCCTAGCCTAACTGACATTTTCACTTCATTTCTTCTCTAGAAAAACAAAAAACAAAAAAGGGGGGCAGGGGAAAGGGCAGGACCACAATTTCTGGCTATGCCAGAAAGAAATAAACATTAAGAAACAGCTGGATCTGGGAATTTAGGAGACAGTGCCACCCACGATTTGGCACACCACATCAAAAAGCTTGCACCAACTCCTAACTTTGTTGAGGTGCAGGCTTACACAAGAGCTGTGTTTAATGTGCAGCCTGCCTCTTTGAGAGGTCACCTTATTCAACCTTTCCTCTGCTTCTGTATGCTACTATTTGGAGATACACCACTGCAGGCAGGCTGTTGGTTTTTACATCATTACACAAAAGAAGAGTAAAGCATGGTAAGACTGAAGCACCAAGCTGCTGAGGTAACATTTACCTTCAGCATGTCTTATAGGAAAAACAGAGTGAAAAAGTCAAAAGCTGAAAAGAAAAGGAGCAGCACTGGGAACAGGGTTTTTAGTACACAGGTCAGTAACCCCATCTGGCCCAGAAAGTCAGGAGTTGTGGCTGTACTTATCATGAAAGTAATGCTGAAAACCACATTTAGCAGCTCCTGCCTACATCATCTTCCCCTGCTAGGACAGCAACAAAAAGCAGGGAAAGAAAAAAAGAATGCATCCAGTAGTATTGGGTTAAGAAGCAGCAGGTATCCCCATGAGAAAATTAAGATCACACCAGCATGGAATGCAACCCTTGTCTTCTATGCCATTCAGTGACACTAACTGGCTGGTGAGTTTGATAGTTCTTTTAAGAAGTAACAAAAGGCAGTAAACCAGAAAGGCTTGATTTTATTACTGAATTTGAAGTAAATTTGGAAAATCCTGAATTCACAAAGAACTGTGTTATTTTTATCATTAATGGTTAAACATTATATACACTTTTTAAACAAATCAACCTGGTATCAAGCTCATACTGCCAAAAATCACCTACGTAGACAAGATATTTATAAAAACTCAATGAATTCCTTACTATCCACAAAACATTTCCACTAACATACAATTATAAACTACGTATGAAGAAAAACAATTGTATGGTATTTCACACTGCTAACAAAATATTAACAGCAATAAACCAGATGCAAAACAAGTGAGAAACGAGCCTGAAATGAGCAATCAAAAACCAGTGTGTCTGTTTTTGCTATACATTTTCTGTTAATTGTTTTAACATATATACTTCATGAATATACACAGTAATGCAACAAAAATCTTTAATGCTATTCAAACCAAGCTGAGATGAAAGTTGTTAAACAGCCTACTAAGATCTGCTTCAGAATCATTCTATTACACAAAGTTTGCTGCTTTACAAAAAGAATTAGCAGAACGCTTACCTAATATGACACTGGTTATATGAATAGAGAGATAAAGTTCCAGTGGAAATGCACCTCAAGTTCACGTTAACACAGCATTATTTAGAGATGAATGTAAAAGTCCTTTTTCAGTCAAAGAGAGTAAGTGAACCACAAAAACAGAGCAAAACACAACCAACCCCCATTACACATAAGCAGATATGATTTCCTGGATTAAATATTCTTTAACTAGCATTGCTACAGCACTCAGTCAGTTAATTTACTTAATGCTCATTGCCATGCTCATTTGATCAACAGTAAGCTTACCTTTCCTTTCGGTCCAGATTGCTTAAAATATGAAAAAAGAAAAAAACATATAAGATGCAAAGCCCCATATGTGTTGTACATCACTAAATGCAAAGGTTATTAAATATAAGCTATAACTGTTTCATTGTCTCTTGCACTCACTGGACTAGTTTTCAAACAAGCACTATAATTTTTTATCGCATTTTTGTAAGAGTGATTAGAAACGCACAAATGTTACTTCAAAGACAGCGACAGTCAGTGGTCTAAATAATACATTGACTTGACTCTTTTTCAGTGTGTAAAATTCGATTAATTCTCATCTTAACCTGGTCATGTCAATTCACTTGTAATGTAGAAGATGGTAAGACAGAATCCTAATATGTGAATTAAGATCACGTCTCATTTCCAATCACAGAATCATTAAGGTTGGAAAAGACCTCAAAGACAGAGGCCAACCATTAAAACAATCCCCAATTGCCATACAAAGGATTAAAAAAAATCATGTAAGAACTTGTTTCAAACCATTAAAAAAAATATTTAAAGTGTTTAATTGAGAAAAAGATTTCAGAAAGTAGTCTTTAAATATTTAAGAAACCACATGCAAAAGCTAGAGAAAAATAGACAGAAACCTCTTTCTGAGGTTTGGGCTAAAAAAAAAGTCTTACAAAATATTTAGGAACTAGTTTCACAAGCATCTCCTTTAACGTAAGTTAACATAAAACGGAATGTAGCTGATGCTCACAACTCTAGTCCTCTGTATACCAACACTGATATAAAAATAGATCTAACTAAGCATAGCATTCAGACAACCTGAAAATAGCATCTTTATGTCTCCTGTCTTCAAAATTTGCAATATGGAATGCTGCAAGCTTTTAATCAACGTGACTGTTCCTCCCAACCGTCCAAAGCCTAATGACCTTCTGTCACATATGCATTACACTAACGGTGTTCTAAAACAGAACAAATTCAAATTGTTTCCTGTTTTACTTCAGTCACACTAAACAGAATACTATTATTACAGAGTAATAAAATCTCATGCTCCTTTTCTTTTCACAAACAAAACACAAAAACAGAGCAAACTTTAATTCTCTTGTTACTCAGAAAACGGTAGGAGTGGAAGTAAGGCAGGTAAGAACATAGTCATGATAATCCTACAGAATGCAGTATGAAAACACATTCCATCTCCACAGTGCTCTGGGTAGAGAGTAAAAGGACTTCAAAGCTGAATGTGACCACAGCAACTTAGACTGGGGTGCAGGTAATCGGCCAATGATGTGTGAAGGTGGGGAAAAATTGCTTCTAACAAGATCTAGCCTTAACAAACAATAAATGCTGCTTTTGTGCAGGCCACATCTCAGTTTTTAAATCCAGTCAGATTCAAACCATGTCTGCATGGAGCCATATCCACTATCTTTGTATCCTTGGCACAGTTAAGACGAAATTTGGATTACCTCTTTATAGGTGTTGTAAAGAATCTCATTCTGAAGGAACACATGCTTAATACTAGGGAAACTTAAAGGCAGGAAAAGAATTCTAGAATGCCTGATACTGTACACTGTCAATATATTAGATGCCTTGCTTGTTTTAAAATCCCTTATTAATATAATAGATTTAAATGAATTCTCCTTTTTACATATCACAAAGATTATGAAATTAGAACCTCGGACAGATACAGGAATTATAATGATCAGTGTCCCTACCAATTGCTTCATGCAGCTCATGCATAAAATTTCTTACACATGCTGTACATACTTGCTATTTCAGTGCCAAGTTTTACAGAACAGTCAGTCAATAGCACAAGACAAAACTATGTATTTATTAAATGAAGCAAAATAGTTTGAACTAACTACAACACTAGGCCAAGCTATATCTAAAAATCCGTTGTATCAGAAGTGAACAAATTTTAATTTAATCCCCAGATTCCACTGGAAAAAACATGAATAATATTCATCATAATATTACTTTGAAATATCAATTTTGTTGCACTAGAAACTTTATTTTAAATATGAGTGCAGTCGATACTCAGCCAGGCTCTAAGTTAACATGCACGTGCAAAAAACTTGCAGAAAGAGGTAAGAAATACCTCTTTGTACAAATCACAAACTTCAAATTCAACTTGACAGAGATTACAACTAAATTGCATAATTAGCTTCCCACATGTGATACTATCCCCACTCAAAAAAACCAGTATAAATAACAGAATCTGTAACATCAGTGCCAGAGACGCAAACTGCTCAGAACTAATCTAATCATGTTTTTATTTTTTGTTATCCTTTCAAAAATCTACCATAAGTTTATGTACAATAGATTAGGTTAGATAAAATTATTTTCTCCATATTGTTAGTGATCACCACACCATAACACAATTCCACAAATGCAAACAAGGAACCCAACTCTGAGCTCTAAGGTGTTGTGGGGTTTTTTTCTACGCTAATTTACAGGTGACACAATTTCCACGCTACGAGCTTTTCTGTCTCAATATATACCTATAATTTTATTCTTGGTTTGCCACTCACATTTTCTGCATATAGTCCTTTTTAAGGAATCACCATCACAGCATTTACTTTTAAATTCAATTAATGCCTAATATCAGTAAAGACTAGCAAAAAAGGATAAAAAAACTCCTACACAACAAAAAATACATTACCAAAAAATATTACACATTTCATATGGGATTGTTTTGACAATTTCTTGCCTTTAAAACTCCAAAATGTTCCTAGCATAAGAGTTAATTTTCTGTTGCTAATATAAGTGAATTACAATAACAATCCTAAAAGAAAACATACTAGAAACACTCAAGATGACTACTATCCAATTACTTCACCCAATACTCAGCCTATGTTATTGTGAGAAATACTTCTTGATAAATTTGAGAGGGGACAAAGTCATCAAAGCAAAACTACCTTACTAAATTAGTCAGCTGTGCCCAGCATCTCTCTCTAGGGACACACCCACACACTAAAATGGGCAACCTTTTATCTCCTCCCCAGCCGGGGGTGGTACCTGTCCCCTTTCCCATTGGCTGGGTACTCAGGGACTCACATTCTGGACCGCCTACTTTGCCCCAAGTCTCCCTCCCCCCTTCATCTTCTGCCTTTTTTGGCAAGTCTTTAGCATAACCTTTCCTACTGGTTCTTAACAACTCTTGCAGATGGCAAGGAACAGTCTAAACCACATCTAAGCAATAAGCAGCTACAAGCAAGAAACAAGGGTTAGCCTCTCCCCCACCCCCAGTCACTCTGGCTTCAGCAAAACATGGCTTGACTTCTCACATTATGCATTAGCTTGCTTTCTGCACGTCACACGTACCAGGTCACTACCCTTTTTTTCTTCACATTACACTGTAGGGTTAAAAAGAAGCAAGTCCCATAGGCAAGAAAGGCAATCAGGCAAGTCTAATATCCCCTGAAGATTAAGAATCTCTGGAGCAGGCTGAAGAAACCTATGGCACTCAACTTGGTACGATGAATCCATCTTGACTGGCTGTTTCAAAAAACCATCTCACAACAAAGCTTAATCAAATACACCAGTATTATCAAGGTCAACATTCAAAGCAGTCTTGTGTGATTATGCTTACTTCAAATCATTTTAATTAGCACTGAAGATCAAGATTTTATCCCTCAGAATTACAAAAAATCCCCACCACCAAACAAAAGCAAGCACAAACACAAACAAACAAACCCCACCAGAAAGGTAAGGGCATGTATGCTTAAAGATGTGCCATACTTTACTCAACGGAAACTTGATAATATTCTAAAAAGGACTTCATGCAAGAAAAAAAGAGCACAGCTGGTTCAGCCTAAACCACACTGATAACATAAACCTCATCTTTCAGTTTAATTCATGGCAAAAACTCTGCCAATCCTTCTTAGTCAACCCAGTCTTGCAATGATTGAAAGAACTGAGAGAAATATAAAGAGAAGAGAGATACCTACTACTGCATCTGCTATTACTGAGGGGTTGGAAATGTCCATGCTATATAACATTTACAGACTACTGTACTGTTTGAAATGGAAGGAGGCAACAATGGTCTAAGTCTTCAAGGACTGGACAAGACAGCAACTCTCACATAAGGAAACACTGACAGAGTTGAGGTTGTTCAGCTTGAGAAGTGAAGGCTCCAGGGAGACCCTGCTGCAGCCTTTCAGTACTTGAAGGGGGCCTGAAGATGGGGACAAAGAGTTTAACAGGGCCTATTTCAACAGCGTAATGGTTTTAATCTAAAAGAGGGTAGATTCAGACCAGGTAGAAGAAAGAAGTTCTTCACAATGAGGTGGTGAAACACTGTAACAGGTTGCCCCAAGAGGTTGTAGATGCCTCATCCCTGGAAACACTCAAGGTCAGGTTGGATGGGGCTCTGAGCAACCTTGATCTAATTGAAGATGTCTCTGCTCACTGCAGAGCAGTTGGACTACATGACCTTTTTAAAGGACCCTTCCAACCCAAACTGTTCAGTGATTCTATTATTCTGTGACTGTGAAACCCCTTTTTCACTCTGTTTCTTCAATGCCAGATTACACTAATACATGTTTGGATCACATAATTTATTCTCCTTAGTATATGGGCTTTGTTCTTCTGAAGTTAGCAAATCCAAGTGAGGGAAGTGGGATGAAAAAAAAGCATAGCTACACATGATCCCACCACCCCAAAAAATCTATGCTAAAAAATAGAGAGAAAAAAAGAAGGCAGAAAAAGGAAGCTAGACAATACTGAGAGGAGACAGCATTCACGTGGGATGGTGGAAATCCATGCAATTCATACATAAAAAGAGTTCTGAATGGATAAACTTTAAAAAAAAAATCCTTAAAGCAGTGGTTATCTTATATGTTTTTGACACACTGGGTGTGAAAAGCATGTTAAAAACATCTAAAAACAACCCTGCAATTTAGAGAAATCTGATGGGGTTTCAAGTTCTCAAATCAATGAAGTTCAATTCAGCATAGTTCAGAAAGGTTCCCCAGTTTCCAGTCATCCTCTCAAATAAATGCAAAACTTTGCTTTTGTAAGACTTTCCAGTTTTTATGTTTTATGCTGTATATATAGACTATATGCGATCAACAGATCTATAATTTAATCTTTAGATGGATCTTATACAAGCTGGAGTTGCTGCAAATTAGTATTTACTGATCATGTTGTCAGTTATGTGATTTTCTACTCTATACTATATTTGTTCATTTCAAAGTGTTTTCTAAAAATACTTATGTTAGCAGATGCTCTCCTGCTATGTGCCATAGTGTGTTTTAAAATGAGTAAATTCTAATATTATATGATAATAATTCCTGAAATATGATTTCATGAAACTTTAGTAATTAAGATCAAAGCTCATAATCAAGAATGCAGCCATATGATTACTTACATTTTCTTAAAACACTTCATAGCATAAGAAAAACCATTACATACAAAATCAGAGCGGACTTTTTACAACTGAAATATCTGGAGAAACAAATGTAATTAGTCTTACCTTTGGGCTGCTGTTTTTACTACTGTTGTCTGTGCATGCGCATGGTGAAAACGTCTGCCATGTACCACAGTTACAGGACCAGACATATTCTGAGCATTTTCACTGCAAACATACAAAAAATGTTTAAGAAAAGACTCTGGTATATTTGTACAGTCAGCTAAAAACTGTGGTTTCCTACTTTTATAAGAACAGCCATACGAAACCAAAAATCAAAGTATTTCTGAACCACTAATACAACTTGTTAGGATTCTTTTACAGGCATAAAACCATTCAGCCCTATCATAAAACAGACAAATAGGAATATATATTATTTTTTTTCTCCTGGAAGAAAAGGTAAAGATTTTTTAAAATTTTATCAGCTTCCAGAACACTAGGAACCAGCTCTACTTTACTCAACCCTGAACTGCAATAAGACGCTGCCATTTGTAATGAATTGTAACCATTTATAATTAATTTTATACTTCCACTTCTCATATTATTAAGGCATAATATTAACTTCTTTAATACAACTTAAGGGGCATAACACGTGAGCAGATTGAAATGTACATTCAGCAAATTCCCTCATTACTCATAAGAGAAAATAAATGCCACAAATTTATGGATGTAAAATGGCTTGTAACTGAAACAAAACAACACATCTCAAAATGAAAAAAGCAAGATCCTCAGGTACTTGAATACCCTAGCAGGACTCCATTCACCCATGTATTTTAGCATTTTTTTGGTTTCTTCATTTGTTGCCTTTTGACTTTTATCTCATTACTATGTAAAACCATCCCTGAAACAACATCTCAGCCTTGGCCATATTGATCAACATAACTGGTCTACTCTGGCCTCCAATCGGGAGGTCTGGAGACACACCATCTATAACGCTGCTGATGCTTTTGAGAACGCACGCAGGATCACCCTTGAGGAGAAAAGACAACGCAGAAAGAATCGTGCCCTGCAGAATATACCACCTAAGGAGTCTTTCTGCTGTGCCTTTTGCAACCGGTCATGCCTGTCTCGTATTGGCCTTTTTAGCCACCAACGCGCTTGCAACAAACGTGGGTAGAGACCTTCCCAAATCTTCGTTCGCGAAGCCCAGCCATGAATGAGTGAGTGATGTAAAACCACTAATTTTGGAGAGAAGATTTCTTACCATTACTCTCTCTAGTACAAGCTGACATTAAGATACAGCAGATCAATAATACAGTACTCCTTCAAAGACCATTAGACCCTAACAATTATCCTGAACGCTGCTGTGACAGGACACACATTACTATGCTTGAAATGTTCAAAAAACACACAACTTTAACAGAGTGCATGTTGATGATGCAAACTGTTTAAAATTATAGAAATAGAGTGCTTAAATTTTGCTTTTAAAATTGCTTGGAATTTTTAGTTGCACTAAATAAAATTATGTGAAAAGGCATTCTGATTAATAATATTTCTCAGAAATACTATCCTGCTGTTTGTCCTGTTACAAGCAATGAAAACAACCCTGAAGTACCAAAATTCTCAAAAAAGTTGACAATCAATTCCTAATCCTTCCTTTACATTCCTCCAAAAGATGAAAGTGAGCAAACTGTTAGTTTGCTTATTACATTCCAGTTTAGCATTACAAACCCTTTTGGGAGCCTTATATGGAATATCTTAAGTCAAGATTAGAAGCTTTCAGAGCATTTCTGACTGATCCTAAGATAACTATTATGATCTGACTGATCATAACACAACCATGAACATAACAGAATAAGACTTATCAAAACCAAATGGTAAAACTCTCTTTTCTAGAATAGGAAGTTTAGAAACATTAAAAATGATCTAACAGTTCAACTTCCTGAAAATTAACCTAATAGCAGCCTATTCAAACACCAACCTCTTGAAAATAAACACATTCATCCCAGATGCTTCCAAGGCAAGACTATGCAACTCCAGCTGGTCAGTCATCAGCCAGACCAATTTACAGTCGACTCTCTGTTTAATGTTGCCACCTGAGAAACAAAAAGCTGACAGCTACTTGCCCTAAATACTTTAGAGTGTCTCAAATCCTCTTTGGCTTTCAGTTTAATGTCTTCGAAAAAGAAAACAGAAGCAGAGTGCAGAAATGTCTTCTCAAAGGCTTAAAGCCTAAGGAGTTTAAACAAGCAAGCAAGCAAGCCTTTAAACACCTATCTCATGTTTTATCTTTGTATTTGTTGGATCTGAGCTTTGCTAAACTATCATGATTACGAAACTCTGTCTTGTGCCCCCACAGTAGAAAAAAATGTTAAGGCAGCACTTCTGCTTTCTGCCTCACATTCAGGTAGTGAGAAACTCCAGCAGGTGCTGGAATAGAGTATCACAAACTGCTCGGGAATCAGGTTTGAGTCAAAGTAGATCGTTCTAGATGGCAGACCTAAATGGTTCATACGGCATCAGATATTTCCAACTCAAACAGCCGTAAAATGCAATCTGCTCTATAATCTTGTTCTCTGAAGAGAACATACCCCGCGCAGAGAGAAATACCAGAAAATTCAATCATTAAGTCTTAGCAAGTTGCAAAATGGGCACATCAGAACTGAAACCTGAGTTTGCAAGTTTCAGCACAGTTTCATTAAGATATGACATTAAAACCGGGATGATATAATGGTCAGAAAGCTCCTGGAAAGAACAAATGTTCTAGAAGTCTCAAAGAACTTACAATATATTAACACTATATGTCTCATTAACGTTATCTCAGAAACCACACAATGACTTGAAGCGCTCTGATGTTACACTATCAGATTCTATCAACTGATAAGCTGATCCTATGGACTTCTTAACACCCCAAATTCAAGAGGCAAAGCACAAAAGAATCCTTCATTGGGCAAAGGGATGAATCTAGAAGTAATGGAAGCACAACCAAAAACACCGGACACAACTACAGAGTACATTAATTCTGCTGTTCATCAAATAACTTTTGTAATAAAACATTACCCCACAAAAAGTAAAAGGGACTTAATTTGAGAAATTTTGACAGAAGTTATTGAAAACTAGCAAAGATAAAAGCAATTTAAAGTAAGACCTCACGATTAAAAAATACAAACAAAAGCATTATGGTTAAGTTAGAGTTTGATACTGGATTTCCTTAATCAGCTAACAGACCATAACTTCTTGGTTGGTTGAACTTTTTGTAGATGTAAGTGGATATATACACCAAAAACTTCTTCTCACTGTCCTTGCATATCCCTTCTTCCTATCACTCGCCCTCTGAATTTTAGGGATTATTATACTACAGTACTACTCATTTAAGTAAAGCCTCACTGATCTGAAGTTTTTAGTGCCTATTCTGCAAATAAGGTGGAAAAAAAGACTTCACCACTGTGATAAAAATCACCATGAACAGATCAAGAACATTAAGTATCTGATCTTCTTGTATTTAATTTAGCAGCTTAGCTGCATGATCAACTTCCAGAATCTTCTCTAGCTGAAGAGTTCAAATACTGATGGAGTAACTATTAATCACCTTTCATTCTGCATGTCAAAGTGAACACACCACTGGTCATCACTGCAGGGACCAGACCACAAACCTTTACTGATGCATGTGTTATGAAAGATACAACACTATCACAAATAAGTTATTAACTCAAGATAATCACTTGGAGCATAATCACATTTCCAAGCAGACTCAGAGACCAAAATCTGAGAAACTGTCACAGTGGCCTCTACACATCTGTTATTCACAACTAAAATTCTTCATCAATGACAGTTTATTAAGAGGAAGAGAATACTTATATTTTTCATTTAAATTCAGTATGCAGCTCAGTACTAGACAGAGAGTGGATGCCTGTTTACATGCCACAGTTTTTTAGTTGAATTTTATAAATCATACTAGGTCTTGGGTTTATAATGTATTACTTGTCAACAGAAGGCAGTCCCAGTCCAGGTAACAGAATGTCTGATCTAAATGCTTAGACCATCTGAAAAAACCTCAGTAACTACTTATTTTAAAAACAATTCTGTTCTGGAACGTCATCAAAACAATGGACACAGTGAAGTATGACTGCTTTAACAGAAAATGAAGAAAAATTACACAGTAATGTTGGATTTCACTACAAATCCCACAGCCAGACAGAGGAAAATCTGAGTTACTTGTTTAAAATGGTTAGGTGTACTCAAAACACCAACCAAATATAATATGCATGCACAGGCTTCTTCATTAAACCAGATCAAAGGAGACGTGCCAGATTTCTAAAAGTTACTTTTATCTTCATGTCTATGTTCAAGAACAGAATCCTAAAGAATGGAAATGACCAGGGTGATTCTGTAAGAACTGGTAAATTTGAAGAGGATTAAGACAGAAATCTGGATATAATCTTATAAATGTGTTGTGTATACAAAAAAAAAATCAAAAGACTGAAACCCAAAACATTATTTGTACAGCATAAATCAAGGACAATGAAGTACTGTGCTAATTTGTGTAAATGTAAAAAGAATTTAATAGAGGGACAGAAGGAAGTACCCATGTTCAGAGACGGCAAGAGCTGACAAAGAAGTGTTTGAATGTGCTGAAAAATAACAGACCTCTGTGCAAGGCTCTTTTAGCCTATAACAAAAAACTTGCCGTTATTAAATAAATTTTATTTTTAAAACAACTTTTTAAAGTTCCAAATAACATCCCATTAGTCAAGACATCAGGTTCAAAGATCAAAACAGCAGGAGAGGATACACATCACATAGGACTTCAAGGATTTATTTTCTCGAGTGACTTCGTGATAAGAATGGTCTCACTAACCAACAATGCTCTTAGGGATCAGCATGAAAGAACAAAGACAAGAACATCCCTCATGCAGCCACACAGAGGTTGGATATTTGATGACTGCTCCAATTATAGCTAGCTAGCTATCTCATGAACTTTTCCTTCCTGCAAAGGTCACCAAACTGATTGCACTTCAGTAACACGAAACGCTCCCTGAGAAAGTTTGGTGAATATGTCATTTTTTTTCTTATATGCTAAGTAAAGAAATAAGTCTCTTACAAGCAAGGGACAGTACTAACAAGGAAGTACAACACTGAATGGTTCAACACTGTTCCTGTCAGCACTAAATGCAAGTGACAAGCTCAAGCTATCATACAGGAGTATGGCATTTGCTGAATCCTTTAAAGATATAGTCTCTGACTCCTAAATTAAATTCTATCTTGCAGCAAGGAAAACAGAAAATGCATCCTGAGTTAACCTTGGCAATTCAAGGTCATGGAAAGAAGAGATTCTTGATGGGGATGTTACCAATATTCTTTTATCTGCTAGCACTGTATAGAAAAAAAAATAGCACGTGCAGGCAATGTTTGTAAGGTACTGACAAATATGCCAGTGAATGCTCTAATTCCATTTCCGTAGTCTTCTGGGTTAAATATTTTGGAAGAGAAAAGACCTTAACAATGTAGTTTTCTATCTTTACTGAGAAACACAGCACAGTGTAGCTTCTCAAAATGCACAGCAGATAATGTAAATATACCAGAAATTCTGTTTATTTAGTATTGATTTGTATCGATGATCAAGTAGGCAAGCCAACATAAAACTAAATGTATTACCTAAGTTTCTTGCTATTTCCCATCATGTTGAGGCCGATTGCATTCCCCTTAAAAAGTCTGAAGCTTCCAGCTTTGCCACGCCTTGCAAATGCTTTTATGGAATCACTGCTAGTGCCAATAGTTCCAGGCCGACAACGAAATGACTGTAACAACAGAATTCACATACATTAAAATAATTGTATAAAATTAAAAGGACAAAATTATTTACAAGTTATTAGTATAAATAGTACTTTGGCCTCCTTTTCAAACTGCTTTTGTATTGAATTTCACGTAAAATGCACTGCCTAAACCCTTACCCACTAGGATTCCTTACTAAACAAAATATAATATATAATTTATATATAATAAATAGTAATAATTGTCTAAATTTAACGTTAGTTATTCATGCTTATATTTTCAGACTACAATACAAATCAAGATGGGAACAAAAACATTAAGGGTAGGCAGATAGACAGCTTGAGCATATGGTCCTAAACCATCACATAAATGTCCATTTTTTAATGCTGCACAGATGACTGTGCAATATTGTTTAAGAACCTAGCATGTTTTAAAGATACATTTTCACCATGAGATAAAGAGATTACTTACCTTTCTTTCTTCATTGGGACTGAAAGGCTCATCACTCTCATCTAAACTGAGCAGATTTGCCTCGCTAGACAGGTGTGGGAGAGAAAAGCACATATGTTGTAATCCAACAGAGCACAAGCAAAACATTTTAAACACACAAATCGTTTTTTATTTCTCTTCCCTCTTTAAATTTAAATGCATCATACACATACTGTATTTACAGGCATGAAACCACAGGAACATGAAATAAGTAACACAGTGATCAGATGCATTATGTGAATCTGAACTCAGAGTGCACATCAAATTATTTCACAAAAAGCAAAACTACATCACAAAAGAGTTTACATCCTATTCTTACATTGAGTCAAATATTTCATTAACCTGTAAAACATAATTTGTTCATGTATATCAATGTTCAAAACTGTAAACTTCATAGTGTTTTAGGAGAAGAACTTAATATAAATAAATTTTATCCCATAGTGATTACTATCAAAATATCTCTTCTTAAAAATAACATATTCAGTTTGGTTCTACTGCTCATTAAAATGTGTTTTTTTAGTACTTTCAATGTCTGTAATCCCCAAATACTAAAATGAGGAAGAAGATTAAAAAGAAAAAGAATGTATTCTTTTCATTAATAGGCAATTACCCTCAAATAATCTTAAGTATTTAAATTAGAACCCCAATCACACATTTTATACAGACAGCAGGTAGTCTAGGCTAACATATTCTTGCTTTCCAGAGAAGCACCTGCAGATAATCCTTTCTCATCAATCCTCATAAGGTTACTTCTCTCTGGGCCACAAGAAAACAACATAACTTTTAGCCAACTTGTAATTGCATGCTTTGGAGAGTTTTAATCAAGATCATTCAGGCAGAAATTACTTAAGAATACAAGCAGTTATGCCAGGAGTTCCAAGGGAACAACTACACGAGAAACTAGTATGGAGGTGAAGGTGGAAACATTTCTCAGCTGCAGATATGACATGCTGACTGCAATATATACAGTAACTTTAGCTCTTTATATATATTAGGTAATCACTCAAATGAATAAGATTTTCTTTTATGTTACAATTTATTTTTCCACCTTACACAATACAGATATCCCTACAGCACATAGAATAAAAGAAAAAAGTTCTTGACTGATAGGGTGAGATCTGCAGACTCCAAAACTTCAGGAAAGAGAAACTCTGAAACTTCTGGAGACTCTGAAACTGTGCACACTGTTGCCCTTGATATGGCAAGAATGATGTAAACGTCAACACACAGACAGTGGCGCACTGCTGTATTTTCCTTTCATTCACAGACCACCACAATTCTAGGTGCTCAATGGAAAATGAACAGTGTAGTGGATCATCAGTAATTTCAAACAAAGACAAGAGAGTATGGTTGTACTTCTGTACAGACTACACATGGATATTAAAATTTTAAAATACTGCAACATTTTTTAAACTCTGTTTCAGGAGAGATTATTCTTTCAAAGGAGGTTCACTGAGCCTTCTCAACCCTTCATCAGAAGACGAGTTTAACAATTTCAGAAGTTTTCCAGATCCTAAAGAATAAACAAAAGCCTGCAGCACAGATATGAACAGCAATCTACGGTATCTGCAGCTCTGGCATTCGCCTACTGTACTGACCTAGCCAGATCATTTCACCTCTAGAAACATTTTCATTCTTCAGCTTCAGTTCATACAAAAATCAAGACGATTTTCAAAATTCCTTTCTCCTGTGGTTATACTTTTAGGATTTCAACATGCCACAATACTGCAACCACTTTAACAAAGGGCATTTGAGGGGGATGCTGAGAGGGAAGGCAACACACTGCAAATCATAGAATCATAGAATCAGCTGGGTTGGAAGGGACCTCAGAGATCATCAAGTCGAACCCTTGATCCACTACCACTGCGGTTACTAGACCATGGCAATGAGTGCCACATCCAGTCTCTTCTTAAAAATCTCCAGGGACGGAGAATCCACTACTTCCCTGGGTAGCCCATTCCAATGTCTGACCACCCCCTCTGTGAAGAAATTCTTTCTAATATCTAACCTAAACCTCCCCTGGTACAACCTGAGACCATGCCCTCTTGTCTTGCTGATAGTTGCCTGGGAAAAGAGACCAACCCCCACCTGGCTACAGCCTCCTTTCAGGGAGTTGTAGAGAGTGATGAGGTCTCCCCTGAGCCTCCTCTTCTCCAGGCTGAACAGCCCCAGCTCCCTCAGCCTCTCCTCATAGGACCTGTGCTTGAGTCCCTTCACCAGCCTCCTCTGGACCTGCTCCAGCACCTCAATATCCTTCCTGAACTGAGGGGCCCAGAACTGGACACAGTACTCGAGGTGTGGCCTCACCAGCGCTGAGCACAGAGGAAATGAACAAAACACTGAAACAATGCTTAAATCAAAGTGAACAAGAGTATCTCTTATGATGCAACATGACTAGAAAAATATCAGGGAATTGAAAATTTTAAACAGTATCTTTAGATCTCAAGGAATGCAAAGTATATGCAAGCGCTAGGCTTGCTGGCAAGGGACAGAGCTTGGAGCCCTGTGGACATGGCTAAGATGCTGTTCTATACCACCCACATCATCGCTGGGGGACATGGCTTCCAGGGGGGAAGGAAAAACAAACCAGTTCACCATTTTGTTCACTTTTCTTCCTTAAGGAAGCTGCTGGGACCCAGCAGTGCAGACTCTGTCCCTCTCCTGCTGCTGCCTGTCCCTCTCCTACCGCTGCCCGTCCCTTCTATCCCCTGGGAAGAACGCAACTCCAAGTGGCCAAAACAGCTGAGCCCATGTGGTGCTGTGACCATAAACACCCATCCATGACAGCCCACCACGGCACCAGTGCGAGAAGCAGCCGTGGGGAACGGAGTGGTGGAGGCAAGCCTGAACCCAGCTGAAAGGAGCCCAGCTGTGCCGTGGGCATCCAGCCGAGTGGAGCCAGGAGGAGCTGAGCACGGCTGAGCTGGGCTGGTCAGGGTGGCACAGACGATCTGGCTTTTGGGGGTTTCTCCATCATTGTTTTTCATTGTCTTGGGCTCAAGGACAGGGAAAGTCGGCCGCGGAGAGCGCCTGCCACAGTGTCTTTGTCTCGGGAATAACCCCATGTCACTGCTGAGCTGCAGGAACGTTCAAAGTCTTCTTTGTCTTGGTGGCCATGCAGAAGCGAGTCAATGTGGTGAATACCTTTTGTGTGTAAAGCACTTTCTCTCCCGTATACTTCTGATATTAATATCGTTGCTGTTACTGTGTGTTTCTTACTCCACTGCTGTTTGTTTGTTACCTCAGCCCATAGTCTGCCTTCGTCCCTCTCTCACTGGAGGTGGACAGGAGGAAAGGAGAGTGGCTTATTTGGAGTTTAATTCCCAGCTGGTGTTAAACCACCACAATGCATCACTACCAGAAAGGCTGTTTTTTCAGAGAGCAGAATAGACAGCAACTGAGTAATGCCTATTTGCTCATGTATCACATGCTTGCAGTTGCCTGCTTCAAAGATGCAATTTATACAGCCCTGAAAAAAACCCACTATACTACATCCCCATGTACCAGTCAGCAACGTTTTTAACACTGCTGAAATTAAACCTCAGTGGTCGTACTGGGAGTATACTATGCCTCCACATTTTGTCACTTTTAACCTGTGCATTTCCTGGTTATTTTCATATTGGAACAATAATTTCTAATTTTTCAATACTTTCATTAAAATTTTATAACGAATGAATGTTAAGTTTTTACTAAAATCAAGGGAAAAAATTAGAAGTAATTTACCTAAATAGAGTTCTTTCCAAAAGGGAATGCATAATTACACATTCAAATTTAGGCACTGAACAAGAAAAACAAAAATTTCTGTTTACTTATGTCTAATCAATTTCCATTTGTTTAATGTTTGAAATGCAACAGCTAGTTAGATAGCTCAGTTTACTAGACCATGTTTTCACTACTACTTTCAAGCACCCAAACTTTAATGTGGCAGGAAGAATGTGACAAGGAATCGTGGGAGTTGTAGTCTTCCGGGTTCTCACGCATGCTCAATCAATACTTGATTGTCATTGGTTGGGAGATCATGTAACATATTTAAGCGCTGTATTTAAACCTAAGTGTTTTGGAATAAACCTCAGTTCTGCTCTGGCACTCGTTCGTGTCTGAGTGGGGTTCGTGCCTTACTTTAAACCTCTGTTGACCATTAAAGTTACACTCCAATAAGGTGCAAGCATATTTCTATCAACTACCAACCGATCCAGCTGTGTTTCAAACCTAATTGGAATTTCTTTCTGAAAACTACTACATATAAAACCAGGACGTTGCCAGACTTCCCCTCACAGTGCACTGTGTACATTCTTTATTTTAAGTTATGTGGTGGTAGGCAGCACATTAAAAAAGTGCCCCAGTATCAGGGGCACAAGAGAAGTAGTGGTATTATTCAACTCATTCACAGTGCCATTCCATTAAAAATAAGCATAATTAAGGGTTAATTTTACCTTAATTAAAACTACTAAAAATTAAGAACTGAGCCTCTGAACAAAAAGTTTTCATCACTTCAAAGGCTATAGTACCTTACTAACAAGCTCACAAAAGAAGCATAAGACACCTATATAAATATGGGAAGGTTTTTGGCGAAAGTATTCATATTTTAAAAGTACTGGAAAAAAGCCAAACAGAAATAAATAAAATACTACATTGTTTTTCCATTCAGCAGTTTATCACCCAAAATAAAAGGGAAAAAAAATTAAAACTTTTGAAAGAAAATGGTAGTTAAGAAAGGATACCACAGTGCAAATAACCCAGAACCATTTATTTGTATTCATTGTTTTTGATAAGGCTGCTCTTGAACAAATCTCAGTGGAAGGCAGAAGTCTAGACTATTAAGAAAACAGTATGACAGCCAAGAGCAAACTGGGCCCATCCATTTACAAAACCACTGTGGAGCATACTGAGGTATATTTCAAAAACATTTATCCAGATATGAAAAAGGAAGTAACTACAAATTATTCAAGACATTTCAAGAACAATCATATGTAACACTAGAAAGCATCTTGTAACATGTTAAGTTCACACATCAATTTATTTAATATATTAGTTTAGCCACGTTTGCACAAGTCTGCCATCCTTCCACGTGTTCTGCTACATGAGATATGCATCATTCCCACTATTTGTTCTGTGATGGATTACACAGGTTTCAGTCTGTTCAACTGACTCATTGGTCTTTTTTCCTGTTGTTCTACGTAAAGGTTCCTCTCCTGTGGGATCTCCAAGTACAAAGCAAGAAAAATCTCACATCATTTGGTACTATCTTGATTGCTGTCTTCAGTAGAGCAAATCTTTTAGAACATAAAAAATATTACTTTTACTCTTTCAAGTGGACTGAATATTATCTGCAGGCATTGACTTTGGGATAAGATACTTCTCAGTTATCATTTTGAATTTCCATAACGCTAGTTCCATGCCAAATATCAACTGTAGCATCATTTTAAACTTACAAAGTGTTGAGTGGTCAATAATTTTTCCAAATCTTCAGTGTACAAATATTATTTAGTCTTTTTGTGTTCATTACTTGATACCTTACTATTAAATGGTTTAAATGACACCTTCTTTTAAAAAAATCTACCTATTCTAAAAATTGCTTTGGTAGGAGATCACATACTCTATGTTCAATTCACTGAAGAAAGATAATCAAGTAGACATCCGGTACTAACCAACAACATTAGCACAGGTCTCATGGGGTAATACAAGAATACAGCCAATCCTTTAAGTGCTAGAATGTTATTCTTAGGCTAGTTCAAAACAAACTTGTTGTGTGTCTGCCATTAAGAGGGCAAAAAAGCTGTGATAAGGTCAGGCACTATAATACCAGTGCCTCAACAACCACCATGAGATGCATCCAGCTGCTCGCTTCAGACTTGCAGCTCTCTCCACAAAGACATGCAGCAAGATTCAAACATTGTAGTAAATATGAGCACACCATAGCAAATAAGAATGACATATTGTCAGAATACCTACTTACTGCACAATATACTCAAAATATTGCGGGGATACAAAGCTTTATGCTGGAACAATTATATGAAATGTTCTAAGGCTAAAGGGAATTTAGAAGAAAAAAGGACAGTTTACTGTTATTTGTTTTCTAAATATTCCCTTCTGTCAGTGTTTTCTTATATAAAATAAAAATGCATCAGAAAAGTAAAATACATAAATTATTTCAAAATGCTCATAGCCCACTATGCCTTTAAGACAAATAAACCCAGGTATTACCAAAAGTAAATACGTGGGCAGCTGAAAATGTGTAGCTGTTTGGAGGGAGTGAGAAGCTGCCTCAAATGGTATCAGAGGATGGGTAAGTAAAAAAGGCACGATCTCCAGTTTAAATCAATTTTCAACTACTCTTTTATCTCTGTTTCCAGATAAGATTCTGCATAATTCAAAGATATAAAAGCAAATTACTGATCTAAGTAGGTAATAAAAATTCAATTCTGGCTACAGGAAAACTGTTTATTGTACAGAATATTTGAAAGGAATGAAAAATCACCCAGACATACAATCTTAAAATCAAATATAATTATATGAAACATATGTTCCATAATAATTTTTCTCTTTTTTTCAGCATCATTGCTCTATATCTATCTCATTCTGTGTTCATAAGTCAACATCAGCTGGAGATGGACAGAAAACAGCAGTAAATTATGAGAAGAAAAAAAGCTGTGAGGCTTACAAATGTTAGTTTTATTTCTGAAGGCAAACACTAACTGTATGGTATGTACTGCCCTTATACTTAAAACATATTACTGTGCACTGGAAATGGATGTAAAGTTGCTAAGGAAAAAAGCTAGTTTAATTTTATAAAACTAAAATGCCATTAATTTGTGAACCTTTCAAAAAAATGGTTTTAACTTCTGATACAGCTCTTTGACAAGAGCTCTGAATGCCTACCTCACACTTCAATGAATTCCTGAACTAATTTTTTAATGACTAAAAACTTCACATTTCTTAATGTTTTAATAAGATTACAACATAGCCTGCTGCTGCAGCCTATGTGGTTGTGTGTCTACTTTACCATCTCCCTTCCAACACACAGAATTTGGCAGAATATGACAAGATACAAATTCATATATGAATATTTTTGTACTTAATCACAGGATTCAGTGTTTTCTTACTAGAGAACCAAAGCATACTTTTTAAACTTGCTGGTCCTAATCTCCAAATATCTAAGAACAACAAACAATCTGATGCGCATTCTTCATGCATGACACTTGTTTTTTAACAATTCATTAGTCATTTTGGAAATAAATACAATAATATTGAGAAAACATATCAGTAACAAAAGAAGTCATAGGGACGAAGTATGCATTCAAACTACATAGATGGGATTTAAGTTTTAGACAAAATCCAAATATACTAAGTAAAGGAATAAATTATAACGGAACAAAACCAGCCTTTACTCAGTGAAATAAGCACAAGGGAAAAAAATCTACAACTTTTTAAGCTCAGTTTAACCTGATGGAGGTACAAAGCTACTGAAGTACTTTAATTGTAACTGTGAAGTACTGAGTAACATCATCACTAAAGGAAAAGCTGAAACTGCTTACACACCCTACCTACTGATTTCCTTATTTTGTGTGTTGACATATTTCTTATCTGTGTTCCTTAGACTTACACAGAAGCTCCAAAGACAACTGCAACACTTGTGCCCTATGTTATAAGCCCCATGTTCACAATTAATTTACGTTATAATGCACTTCTATATGGCAAGACTTATTTGAAACAATTTTTCTTAATTACTGGCATTTTAAGATATATATATTGTTTCTTATGCATAAATTACAAAAAATAAGTTTTTAATTATAAACAGACATATATACTTTCAATAGCCTAGATAAAAGCATCCTTACTCTTTCTCTGCATCTCCTTCACTTTCTTCTGCGTGATCAAAGCTCCAATTACTTTTAAAACCTCCATCTCTCTTGGACTGTGATCTATCCAAAGCTGAAATGAGAACAAGTTAAGATAAGTCTTGATTCCAAGCTGAGTTATTAATAACACAAACTAGAAAAGTAAACCAGATGTATGTATATTCCCCAAGTATTTATTTTATTGATGTCAATGTTCAACTATCATCTGATGAATAAGTTCATCAATGCAGTGGCGATTCGTTTACTTAAATAAATACGAGTATCTGTCAACGTCTTATTAATGCACTAAGTTAGCAAGCTGTTAAAAATTATGACCTGAGGTAGTGTAACAACTGTTTTCAACTTATTTCAACTGTTTTATTGAAACCCATAAATTTAAGGGTAGCTTCTCTGATATGAACTATATGTCACACACAGAAAGGGTTCTAAAATTTATTACTTCATTGTTTAATATCCAAACATATATATTAATTTTTTCCATATAAAAGCAACAGTTCTGAATGGTCCCAAGCACCATTTCAGCATAATATACTTTTTTTTTTAATTCAACATCTGACACTGACCTGAATTAACATTCAATGCTAACTGAATTTCAGTGTTATTATCAACTAAGTAAAAACCTGAACTTTCTGAAAACAATCATACTACATGAAATTTCAGATTCCTATGGAGATTTTCATATAATACAATGGTATGGGGTATTCTTAAGTGAAATGGTCCAAAGCATGGAGATAGCACTCATTACAGCAAGACATTGTTCCCTCTGGATCCTAACTACTGCAACTAAGAGCAATCTCACACAAATTCTGTATGACAAACTATGAAGCTGCTTTGATTTCGGTACAATTTAAATATGTCTTTTCTTACTACATTTTTCTTTACATTGTTGGAAATGCACTTAGAATTAATAAATGCAACTTCGATAGAAAAGAATAAGAAAATCACAACCAACAATAGATGTCTATGGCAAAGTATAAACACTGCCCACAGAAATATTTATTACATTTTCAACCTCTTCTTCCATCTACTTGCATCTACTGCATGCTTCCTGAGCCATGGGTCATATTTTTGTTTTTAACAGCTATTCCTACCTTCTTCTTCTCCCTGCTTGCTTTTTTAATCAAACCTTCTTTAAAGAATCAACAGCATCTTGCAGCAGAGAGTACCTCCGCTTAATTATATGATTAAGTATCTCCTTTAGTTTGTTCTGATTCAAACTGGTACCTTTTGCTCTTACTTAGTACTCTACTCCTTCACTCCATATACTTAGGAAGACAGTAATAAGCAATCCTTCCCTATTCCCTCATGATCGCATAGATCCCTGTTGTGTCCTTCCATGGTCATCCTTTTCCCAGGCAGAAAAAGAAAAAGTGAGTCAGCTTAATTTTTCCTCAGATGAAAGCTGTTTCATGCCTTCAAATAACTCTCGGATGCTTCTTTCAGAACCTCTTCTAGTCTACTGTACCCCTTTTGAGATGAGGATACACACACTACAAGGAAAACTCAAGATCCCATGGATTTCTACAGAAGCAACATGATATTTCTGTTTTGTTCTTTATTCCTTTCCTAGTTGTTTTTTATTTCCTTTCCCTTTTGTTCTTTATTCCTTTCCTAGACTTGTTTTCACTGCTAAGGAGAATTGCATTGATCTTTATGTACTGGATAATTCCATCTTTCACTCATGATTGGTTAAGAACCACTTCAGAGCCAATCACTGCCTACAAAAATCCTCTTTCCTACTTCTCATTCACTTAGATTACTTGACATTTACCTACACTAAATTTCACGTATTATTTCAACCCACATAACTCAAAAACTGAGCATCTACAATTTGCTTTAAATAGCCAGCCATTATACTAACCCAAGTAAAGTTTAAACATCTAAAAACTTTGCCACCTTACTGTCATAACATTTTCCTTACATCTGTGCCCCAATGTTAACATCCTCATGTAATTCAATTCAACTTCTTCTATTAACAAAATGAAACTTTTTTGCCCGCTCTTTCCATCTGTTGCCAAATTTTTCTTATAAAACTTTCCATTTTATTCAGAGACTACTTAGCTTCTCCCAAAGCCTTTCGTAAAGGACTTTACAGACATAACAGTGAAATCAAATCTGGTCTTTATTATAATTTCTATGAATTTGGGTTGCATGGTCACAAAGCTCACTGATGTAAAGTTCCTCAAACACTTCCAATGCCTTTTAAAAAAGCTGATATCACACCTGCTACCTTCCTTACCTGTAGCACAAAGATGATGCTAACCACAAGTAACACGCTACACCCATTAGCTCCTTTATTTCCCCGTTCCTCTTACAACACTTGGATGAATGCCATTTGATCCTGCTGCCTTATTTACAGCTTGCTTCATGTACTGTAATTTCTTCCACTGATGTTTCGTTTCGAGTCATATATTCTATCACATTCCTTACTAAGAAAGATGGTGGCATGAAGAGGTCTGTAGAGTGTTGTCAAAGCAAGTGCGAGCGATTCCATTCTTCAGCTATGACCTTATCTAAGCCGCCTTTCACAACGGGGTTGTCTACTGACCCTCCAGATACTCCTGAAACTTTCCTGCTGACTTTGAAGAAATACTTAACAATAGTTTTTATGCTTGTTGGGAGTTACTAATTAATTTTTCTTCACCTCATTGTAATTATAGGTTAAATCCACCAGCTTTGTTATTATTCCCTAATTTCATTATTCAGATGAAAGATCAGATTTAAGAAGTATGATGTTTTACTTCAGATATTATACTCTACCCTGCTGTTTAGCCAGGCCAACATTTGAGGGGCCTTTTGAAATGTATTTAAATAAGCAGGATGCATACTGTAAGCCTCCAAGATGCTATCTTTAAATAACTCCCAAGCTGGCTGCAAACATTTTACACTCCAGTTGCATCTCTTCATTCCTTTTCAAAAAGTTTCTTAATATTTTCTGTGTTTTCTGTAGTCTTTTTTTTTTAATTAAGCATTTCTGGATTGGACAGTTTGTCCACCTCTACTGATCAATGCAGCTGTCCATGCAAGAACAGTCTTAATATCTCTGTTCTGCTCACTCAGATCTGGATCACTTTTCACACTCTCTAGCATTCTTGGTCCTAACAAAAATGTCAGTCTAGAAGTATACCATCATGTTAGCCAGAGTGTTCACCTGAGTTACTTTATCTGAATGGTCACTTGGTATCTGATTCTACACAGGAATTTATTATTTTTTCTTTTAACAGGGATAACAAGTAACCTGTTACATAGGCTAAGTTGCTGATTATTTTATAGTAAGATTTAAATTTGGAACCTCCATGTTGCGATTTTCACTATGTACACTATCAAGCCCATTTTAATCAGCAAGATGCCTTCATACCCAGTGTAAAAGACGATTTCATCTCTTTTTTTGTTGTTTTCACATTGACCAGTTTGGTGAACAAAATGGCAGACTCTGTCTTTAACTCCTGGCAGGGTTGTCTTCATTGTCCCGAGAGGACATTTTTAGACTACCTGCCAGCCCCCCTGGAGAGTTTACATCAGAGAAAAGTTACATTTTCCCACCTCGGCAGAGCCAGCCTGCCCAGATACCAATGGTCTAACCCATCGGCAGTGTGGAGGAGTCTGCCTGGAGGCAAGCCAGCCAAGGAGCGTCGACTGTGGGGTCTTTCGTTTTGGGGATCCAAGACAGCCAGAGTTCAGTTTTGTTTGGGCCCAGGACATGCCATGTTCAAGATCCAGTCCACCAGGTTCCAGTGTTCCAGTCTTGGCCCCACTCCTCGCTCCATCACGCCTGACTCCATCTCGCCTGCCTCCGTTCCACCTCTCCCGCTCGCCTCCAGCTTGGTCGGGTTCAACTCAGGGTCCAGTGTTGGCTGCTGACCCCCACGCCTGCTTTCATCCATCTCGCCTGCCTGCCGCCGTCCCGCCTACCCATCCACCCTGCCCACCACCTGCCTCTGTTCGACAGTCCTCCTGCTGACTGCTTGAGGTCATATGCAGCCGGTTTCTTCCCTCACTGGTGGTGGCAATCCTTCTGTAGTTTAATTTTGTAGCTTTTCACTCTCCTTATTTTTCCCCCTTCTCCTCCCTCCTTCCCTCGTTTTTACCATTTACTTATTGATAAAAATAAAGTTCATTTTCTGTTTGAGACCTTAACATTTGCATTTAGTGCCTTAATCTCGTCTTCATAGTATCCATTTAAATAACCTTGTTGCAGCTGCTAACCGGACTATAACACCCAGAAGCTGAAAACATTCAGAACAGCAGAGCTGACCCTAAGGCCAACAGAAGCCAACTGCAGTACCTCTGCCCAAGAAAGGCAGCATGCTGGAGCAGATTTCACTATAATTTTTCCTCCCCCACAAGCTCCCTTTGGTGCAGTTACATCAAGGGAGATAGCAATTCCAAGCCCAAGAAACTAACTGTAATTTAAATAGACAACTTACACAGGTGTAGCTGACATAGGTCACTGCTTTTTTGAACACCTGTTATCAGTTACATTAGTTACATCAGTTACAACAGGTTGCCCAGAGAAGTTCTGGATGCTCCATTTCTGGAAGTGTTCAAGGTCAGGCTGGATGGAGTCCTGATCAACTTGATCTAGTGAATGGCATCCCTGTCCATGGCAGGGGGATTGCAATTAGATGACCTTTAAGGTCTCTTTCAACCCAAACCATTCTATGATTCTGTAAAGTCAACTCACCAAAGTCAGATGCATTTACTATCCACACAAAGACCAATTTTTCTAGTAAAATTACTTTTCCGTATGTATCACTGGATTGCCAGAATTACTCCTTACCACTCCCAGAAGATAACAGTAGAGACTTTAAGGTTTCTATTACACACAATAGCTTTTATAAGTCTTTCATCTGCTGAGATCTCATCTATTTCTGCATGTCCAAGAACCATCCTGAACATGAAACCTAACTCAAACAAAGGTTTAATTCAGGACCCAGGTGCTTTTCCAGGAAGATCTGCAGTTTACGTTCTTTTCCCCCACTTACACTGGTAAAGAAATAATACAAGCCTCATCTTACAAATGGTTAGACCATCACAACTGCAACCAACTTATCAGATACTGCAGTGTTCACA